AAACCTGCTGCTATTTTTGGGTAGTAACTACCTTTTAAAATGGGTCTACACAAGATTCTAACTATCAGCCTTGCCTGAAGTTTCTTTCTAGCTAGAGCAACATTCTTTCTAGCCAGAACATTCACATGGTTCAACAACTGTCACATCCCAGTAATGCTGACCTTCTCTGAGAGAATGCCCTAAAGTTTCTCTTGGCTAAATTTTTGTTCCCAAACAGAATACTTTTAAAGGGCACCTGTGTATCCAAGGCCCTGAAGGACACTGTACTGGTGAGACAGTCTGAGACACAGCAGCAGCCATGCATGACTTCAAGCATGAACAGTCTGATTTAAATGCCCACAGTCTAGAGCATGACCCCAACTCTGTTATTTGACAAAAACAAAAACCCTGTCTGTTTAAGAGTGAACTGCAGCACTAGTCTTTTTCATTATGATGCACAATGAAACAAAAAGGCTTCAGATTTAAATATTACGTGCACTAAAAACAGAATGCACCCTAATTTCCAGGCTTAGCTAGGGAAGGGAAAAGACAAAACTAACAGACCAATCACATCAACCCTTGCAATTTTTTTTTTTTTTTTTTTTTTTTTACACTCATACTTTGGTATTTGAATTGTTAAATATAAAAGTGAACAGACAGTGAAATAGCTGAAACACTTAACAGCTCAGCTGTGGAGAATATACAAACAGCAGACTATTGTAAAATGATCAAAGTGTATATTTTATCTGAAAGGAGATGTGCATGTTCTCTCCCTGGAATTGTTCAAGGCTACAGCCCAACAGGTACACAACCCCTGTTGGGGGTATGCAACCAAAGCTGCTGGGTGGAGCTCTAAGCAACCTGGTCTAATACAAAGTGTCTCTAGAATTAGATGATCTTTAAGGTCCCTTCCAACCCAAACCATTCTATGACTCTGTTTTCTCTCCCACTATCCAGGTAAAAGCAGGTACCTGTTCTTCAGCCTATACAGGCCTTGCACTCTTGTCACCATTCTCTGGGAACAGAATGAGCTGATTTTGGATCTGTGCTGGTATAAGTATAGACCTGCATATGCACCAGAGCAGGAACCACACAACCAGATCAGCACCTGACAGCCACCACAAACCCAAAGGGCAATCGTTGTTGCAGCACATGGCACAGTTGAGACAGCCACAATACACAAAGTATCACCATACAATTTCAGAAGGCATCAAGAATTCACCCATACAGAGCATCACCATACCACTTCAGAAGGCTGCAAGCAGCTGCCCTTCTTGTTCTTTAGCCCAACCTTTTATACCCCTGATGTTGATGCACTGCACCTGTGTGCCCTCTGTTCCCTTTGGTGACGGGTCAGTGCCCCTGGGCACTCCATGGCTCATTGCTGTCAATGCTGCTCATCTGCTTTTCACACCTGTAGCCCATGGGGCATGAGGCTCTGCTGCAGCCCCACTCCCAATTACCACAAACTGTGTCCCTACAAACAGACTTACTGAGCTTTGAGTTATATATCACAGCATGTACATTTCATGATCAAGTGTAAGATTAAAATAGTCACCAAGAGGAATGCTCACTGGCTGAAACACTTTGATTTCTCCAAAAGATCAGTGGTGCTGCTCAGCCACTTTTACAGTTGGTAAGAGCTACAGGATAAACATTTTAGAAAGCAGGCTGGTTTCCTTCCAATGTCTGCAGATAACAAGCTCTGTACCTACCTTTCTGTTACCATTGTTCTCTCAGAATACATCTTGTTCTGATACAGACAAACCAAGAGATAACAATCTCTGGGAAAAACGTTGTCTGACAAAGACTAAGTACACTGCTTGGCTAATATCCACATTACCTCAGAGGGAATATTTTGAGCTATCTGAAGCCCTGAGATGGCTTTCTAAGGAAACATAGGGAGAACTCCATGAGCCACAGTCTGCTTGGTTCTGTGTCTGCTTGTTTGTTCCTTCAACAGCCTAAAGTGCATCTGAGCAAGCAAGACAAACAAACCTAATACAAAAGTCAAAACATTATTAAAATGTCCATGCTGGTGCAATGTGAAAGAGAAATATTTCAGGCAATACCCTCTGCCTCTGTTCAGAAAATGAACTGCTGCATATGAAGCAACTCCTTAATTAAGTGTGTGTGGTTCTTACAGAAGATCCTGAAGCTAGCCAACAATAAGCTTATTTTCCATAAAAAAAGCCCTTATCTCAGATAAAATTTCACATTTATTCTGAAAATATAAGGTGAAAGCAGAACCTGAACAGATGTTCACTGCAAAGATCAGCAACACTCTTAAAGTAAACTGCAGTTCAAGGCACAAAGAATAAAGTACCTGACTGGAGCCCAAGAATGATGCAAATTAAATATCTGTAAGTCTTTTCCCTGAATCAATAATATTTGATCCATTAGTTAGGTAGTGTAATTGGAGAGCAATTATACAAGCTCACCAATATGAAAAAAAAAGTTGCATCACTGAAACTTTACTGTAGTCAAATAGAAGTTCCTAAAATAATAAAAAATGGTAACATCACAGGACCGTAAGAAGAAATATAATATTTGAATAAACTATTCAAGTGTGGTCTTGTGAGAAGACTTAAAGTAAAACCATCTTGGAGCATGGGTCTGTAGGAGTTTGAAATATATTTTTACTAGCTTTCTGAAGGCACACTTATAAATGTTTTGAGAGCATCTTTATAACTCTAACTTTCCTGTAAAATTGTTCTGCAACCATTCCACCATAGGTGAAATGCTCATAGGAAATTCTCCCTGAAACTACAAGGAAACAAACCAAGGAAATTCTTCTACCTAGGAACACTACTGGGAAACAAGAAACAAGAACAAAATCAAAACCAACCAACCGAAACCAAACCAAACAAACAAAAATAAAAAAGAGAGAGAAAAATGTGAGAGAGAAGAATTGTAAACAATGCCTTGGAGGAACCTTTTACCTTGGAAGAAGCCTTATACCCACCACCTTGTTCACCTTTTCAGAGCTGAGGAAAACAAACTTGGAACAACTGAGTTTGAAAATCAGAATTATAGTCAATGTGAGTTGTGGTTCCCCCAGCAAGCACTGCCCATCCCATCTCCTTCTGTGAAAGGAAGGAAGCATTTCACTATACTCAAAAAGCATTGCTGTTCCCTTCCCTGAATCTGTTTAATTTAATGACAGAAGCAATTTATATTCTAGTGCTGAAAAGCAACTTTTGGACTCTCATTAAGACTAGTCAAGTCTAATGACTTAAGCATCCCATCAGAAACAAAGTCAGCATTGAACTATAACTAATTAATTTACAGACTATTACATACAGAATAAAGCAAGTACATAAAAAAAGGCAGAATGAAGTAAGTTAATCACTTGGTAAGTCCAGTAGATGCCTTCTAGCTAGTTGCCCCTCAGCACTTTGCTCCTATCCCTGAGGCAAAGCAGATGGCAATAGAAATGCACAGGACCTTTATACATTAGAAATGTTTTTCTTAAATATTCCCATATTTATGCCATTAGTGAAGGAGGCTCAGATAAACAGATCATTCAATAGAGATGTTTTTGCCTATGTGAATAAAAGTAAGACCAAGTTAACATGACCTTTAAGCATTTTAACTTCTCAGCACAGTCCACAAGGGAAAGTCTTGCACATGTACAACAACATATCAAATGAACTTGCCTTCAGGATGTAAACAGGGGGCACTCTTATCTCAACTGAATACTTTGGAGGAGTTCCTTTCATTAGCAGTCTCATTGGTCATTAACCACTGTTATTTAACCAGTAAGCTTTAATTCAATACAATCCCAAGACCTTCCCAAAGTGAGCTGTTATTATTATTATTATTTCAATTATAGATAATTGGGGAACAAAAGCTGTTTGATTATACATCATTTTAATTCCTACTGATTTTAGGAGAAAAAATGAAACCAAGTAATTCAGATGTGAACCAGAAAGGATTTAAAATGCTGAACTATTGGTGGGCACAACCCCCCTGCCCCAAAATGCAGTAAGCAAACCTCACCATTGACTATTCCATGACCAAAAATTATCCTTAATCCTGGAGCGCTTCTGCCAGTTTCCAAGTTCTTCACTGACATGAAGGAGGGAAAAAAATAGACATACATGAGGTTCCACTCTTTGAGGTGGGAGCTTGTCATTACCACTGACCTGCTGGAAAGCAGCTCTGCAGACAAAGACCTGGGGGTCCTGGTGGGCAACAAGCCATGGGCCAGCAGTGCCCTTGTGGCCAAGAAGGCCAATGATGTCCTGTGCTCTAGGAAGAGCACGGCCAGCAGCTCAAGGGGGTTGATTCTGCTCCTCTACTCAGCCCTGGTGAGACTGCATCAGAAGTGGTGTGTTAGTTCTTGGTTCCTCAGTACAAGGGAGATGTGGAGCTCCTGGAGCAACCAGTGGAGTGCAATAAGGATGAATGGTCAGCTGGAGTATAGGCTGAGGGAGTGGGCCTGTTTGGCCTCAAGAACAGATGATTGAGTGTGGACTTCTTCAATGTCTATCAGTATCTGAAGGAAGGTGTCAGAGGATGGAGCCAGGCTCTCATCAGTGGTGCTAAGCAACAGGACAAGAGGCAATGGGCAGAAATGGATGCACAGAAGTTCCACCTGAACATGAGGAAAAACTCTCTTGTGTGGGTGACCATGCACTGGATCAGGTGCCCAGGGAGCTTGTGGAGCCTCCCTCACAGGAGATACTCAAGAATCATCCGGATGGGATCCTGTGCCAAGTGCTGCTTGAGCAGGGAGCTTGGACCAGTTGACCCATTGCAGTCCCTTCCAACCTCCCCCGTTCTGTGATTCTGCGATTTGCAAAACAAAGCAAGACCGCAGGACCGGGAGCCACTATCAACTTGGGGAAGAAAGAACAACGCAGTTACTGTAGCCGACCGCTCTCTCGCTGCGCACAGGCGCTTCCCACACGCCTGCGCGCGGGGTTCGGGGGCGGCTGCCGGGCGTGTGAGGGGCGGGCGGCGGCGGGCGGGGCCGGGCCGGGCCGGGCCGGGCCGGGCTGGGCGGAGGCGGCGGGCGGGGCTGCGGCAGTCGGTGCGCGCTCGCCTTCCGCCTCAGAGCAGGGGGCGGCCGCGGTCGGGCCTGTGCCGGGGCGGCTGTGGCACCGCCGTCGCCGCTCTTCGGCTGCGTAACTCTTCCCCCGGCCCCTCCCTTCCCTTCTCCTCGGGCCCAGCGGCGGCGATGGGGTCCCGGGCGTCCACTCTGCTGCGGGACGAGGAGATCGAGGAGATCAAGAAGGAGACGGGCTGTGAGTGCGGGGGCCTGAGTGCGGCGGGGCGGGGCGGGCAGTACGCGGGCTCGGCGGCCGGAGCGGGGCCGCTCGCGGTCCGTGGGGCCGGGCAGGCCCTGCCCGGCGCAGCCGCGGCGTTCGCGTCGGGGCAGTGCCCGGTCCCAGGCAGCGCAGCCCCCGGGGCCGGGATGTGTGGCAGGCCCGCGGAAGCCTGGGAAGCGCCTCTCGGTTCCCCGCCGCCGCTGCCGGTAGCAGCAGCGAGATCCCAGCGGGATAGAAGGGAAGCAGTGCTCTTGGTGTGTGCAGTATTGTATTCGGTCAGAGGTAACTCCTTGGGTTTTGAAGAGTTGTCTGTATCGATGTCTGCTGCTGGAGTGTCTCTCAGTTTTTAACCCAAAGAAACTGTCGTTGAATAGTAATTTTTTCCCCAAGTGTTATTTGTTTTATGGGCTAATGCTAAAGTTGCCGCAAGGGTATTCAGAATGAATGCTGAGTGGCATTTAAATCCTAAAGGAAGTAATGTAACTCACGAGAGATAAGTGTTATTAACTAAAAAGAAGTGAAATTCCTGTACTAGTCAGCAACTGGGAGAGCATTATATCAGCTGGACTCTAATATTTAGATACTTTACCCTACAGTATTTGATCGAGTTGTACTGCACAAACATAAAGTACCTTAGAGAAGGTGAAACTCCAGTGTTGTTAATTTGCCTGATAGAATGATTGCCTGAGAGCTCCAGCAAATGATAATAAATGATTTAGTTCCACTAAATGACAATAAATGCAGGATGCCTTCCTAACTATCTGGGGAGCAGAGGTCATAACATCATAGGTATCGCTTTGCTGTTTGTTCCCCAGGAAACTTCTCAGGTTAACATGCTTTCCCCAGCTTTTCCAATTTTTCTTCTGAATATACATTCTGATTTGTTTTTGCTACTTGGAAATGCTTTCTTCAGCTTTCTTTCCAATATAAATGGTATCATATATTCTTCTTAAGTGTTAGTTTATTTGTGTCAGGAAAATGCGTGTCTACAGGAGAGGAGTAGAAGATTAAGAGAGCACTGGAGCTAGTGTAGTGGCAGGCTGAGTGAGTTAACATAGTTTCCATGATCCTTTTTCCATCTGTCATGAAAGCCTTCTACAGGAAAGCTGTGATAAACAAGTAGAAATGTCAAAGTCTGTTTATCCAGCAATAACTTTCTATGGCTTTTTTCTTTTTAATCACAAAGATCATGGAGTAAAGGTAGCCTCCTCTCATTTATAAAGATGCTTCAAAATCCAAACCCCAAATATGGAATATTTTTCCAGAAGGTTTTACATTTTTCCTCATGCTGCTACTTGATTTATTGTCTGTGGTGTTTTATTCCTTACAGTTTACTTACGTGACAGTTAAATAAATACCATTTAGATGGCTGTATAGGCATTGTAAGCAATAAATCCACTTGACTCTAGCTACCTTCTAAATGCTCTTCTTGTATCATCAGAGGGTGATCAAAGTTATGACTGGTGGGTTTCAACTTCGTGACCTGATGTCCATTCATTTCCCCATGTTTTTATCTAGTAAATTTTATAATTAATGCTACTTTGTTAACCAGACATTGCTAATCTCTGACTCATGCTTGCCTGTAAGTCATCACAGTGTGTCTCATTGACGTTATCAATCATTTTCTTCTTCTCCCCAGTCTGTAACTGCAGTTTAGGAATGTGATTCTTCTCTGCTTTTATACTTCTCTAGCTAGATGGAAAATTCCACCAAGATGTTAGCACTGTTTTACACTTCATATAGGTGAAAGTATTCATACAAGGTGGGCAAAAAACCCAAAGAAACACTAGTTAACTGGGTCAAAGTTCACAGGCAGAATGCTCAGGTAGTGTTACTGAATAGACTGCTGTGGTCTGTTGGAAACTTGATGCTGCTGGTACTTTAGCTACTGAAGAGTTTGAGAAAGGGACTTTGTAGACATGAAAAAGTCTGGCAGCATTACAAGTCCATCTTGAACTGGTGCTCTGATAAGTGCTCCCAAAGATTCCTTTTTGGCCTCTTTACTGTGAAATGTGTTTCCTTCAGTTCATCTGGGGTAGGTGTGCGGTACTGAGTAGAACACTTAACCAATTTGATTGAGCTCAACTCTGGAATTATATACCTTCTGCTCAATTTCATGTAGCACAAAGCTGAATAGCTAATAGTACTGACATGAGTGAGAAACTGTATGTTAATGTTCTTCAGCAGAACAGATAAAGAAATGTCTTTTAGGGCACTAGAGGCATAGTCTTTCAAAAGCTAAGCAATGACACAATCTCTTGAATGAAATTTGCTTGAGTTAAAATTCTTCTCTTTTTTGTGGCAGTGAAGAGCAGTTTGTAGGGTAAGTTCAGAGACATGTGCAAAGGTAATGCATGAGGTTCTCAGCAGCAGGTGCGAAGCCTGAAGTTGACAGTCCTAAATCTCACATGGTGTTGTCTGGAAAGTGTTTGCTTTGCATATAAACATTTTGAGATTTGAGCAGGAAAACACCTTGAAGTCATCCTAATTGCTTTGATATTTCAGTAACAGCTATTAAAAAAAAACAGATGAGAGACCCAAGATGTTGCTTGTCAGCATTCTGTTGCAAGCTTTTGGAAAGCTGTTGGAATGTAACAGTATTCAAAGTATTTGGTTCACACCCTTTGTTTCCATGCTTTGAAGCACTCTGCTTAAGGATTAATAATAAATTAATGCTCATATCTTAATTTGGGAGGAAAAAATGTTTGCATGGTAGCAGATAATAGATTTTTCTGATGAATATTTATATATTTTCCAAATATATATATATATATATATATATATATATATATATATTTATATGAGTTTATGCTACTGTTGTAGACAAGAATATGTAATTGCTAAAAACTTTACAGTGATTTTACATAAGTAAAATAGAGAGAGCAACTCCTAATTTAGAGGTCTTGATCCTAAATTTTTAGGGGGATCTTAGTGGAGTAGCAGTATAAAATGGTGTTTCAGCTAATTTTAAGCTTTAACCGTAGATTTTCAGTCATAACTTTAGAAGCAGTCATAAATTGCAGATCTTAACTCTCCTAGTTATTCATGAGAATCTTTACTTTGCTTACAAATGCACTGAAAAATGTCCAGTGACACAGCTTTTGTGAGGGATGAGAGCCAAAAGGAAATTACGACAGAAGACAGTGGTGAACCTGAATCATCCTCCTTTTGCACAGAGCTGTGACATGCTTTTTGTCTAGTGTGACGCTAATGAAAATATCACTTCTCCTGTCAACAGCTACAGACTATTTCTCACATACTAGCTGTTCCAGCGATGTTCCAAAAATGGAGATGCTGACATCAGTTTGGGAATGATAGCTGAGTAGAATTCTCATCACCTTCTTTGTTTTCAGGGAGGAGTGGGAGTATGGGACTTCTAATAGATCTAACTTCAGCCTTCTTTTTTTCACCATCAGTTGTTGTTGTGGTATCTAAAACATTAAATCAGAAATGCGGAAGGTTGAAGTCTTCAGAGTACTGGTACTTGTTTTCTCTGTGTGTGTTGCTTAACTTGGAAGTGAGCAAGCTGCCCAGTCTTATCGTAGAGAAGTTGCCTGAGGTGAAACTGAGCAAATTGCCCAATCCTGTGCAAAGAATGCAAGTCGCTGAGGAGACAAGAAGGCTGGGGGGGGGAATGTGTTTGAAAACCCAGTTGCTGGCAGGTCATGCTAAAGGACAGAACTGTTGAACCAAAAACAAATAGTCTCGAGAAAGAAAGAACAAACCTGAAAAGAAACCTGCCTCACTTGTCACAGATCAAACACCTACTGTGCAACTTCTTCCCAAATAAGTTTGAGCAAGTAAGAGAAGCATTGTGCATGTCCTGGTGAAGGCTTTTTAAACTATTTAATCTGAGAATTACACTAAGTCCTAGTTTAACATTGTAGACAATCACACCTTTACTGAATACACATTAACATTCAATTCAGTCTTATTTCATGTATTTATTAAATTTATCAGAAGAGACTGAAAAGCCAAGATCTCCTGTAGGGCCTTGTGGTTTAATCTCAGCCGATAACTAAGTACCACACAGATGCTTCCTTACTTCCTGTCAGGGTCGGGGTAGAAGCTCGGGGAGAGGGGAGGTAAAACCCATGGGTTGAGATAAAAAGTTTAATAATTGAAATAAAGTAAAATACAATAATAATTTTAAAAATGTCAATAATAACAATGAAAATACTAATTGTAATGAATGAGAAATGAAACCAGAGAAAGACAAATGAAGCACAGTACAAGTACTGTACACAGTAGAGTACTGCTCACCTCCTGTTGACCAATGCCCAGCCTGTCCCCAGACTGCAGTTGGTCCCTCCTGGCCAATTCCCTCCAGAACTGTATACACCGGACGTGATGTTCTGTGGTACAGAAGATCCCTTTGGCCAGTTCAGATCAGCTGTTCTGGCTGTGCTCCCTCTCAGCTTTTTGTGCACCTCCTCACTGGCAGAGCCTGGGAAGCTGAGGAGCCCTGGGCTTAGGGTAAGCTCGACCTAGCAACAGCCAAAACAGCAGTGTGTTGTCATCGTTACTCTCCTATGAAATCCAGAAACCACAGCACTGTACCAGTTACTAGGAAGAAAATGAACTTTGTCCCAGCTGAAACCAGGACAAGTGTTCTTTCAGTGTTAAAGGAATTGCTATTCTATAGAGGTTTATCCCACTCACATCACAGACTAAAGATCTAGTTGTCTAATATCTTGGGTTGTCTAGTACCTTGGCAATGTTGACACAGTTATGCTGAATTTAATATTGCCTTTGTAATTTATGTTTCAAAGTGCAGATTTAAAGTCTGCAATAACTTTCTGCTTGCTTTGTAGCTCAACTCCTTCTCAAATTTCTTTAGAAATAGGCTTTTTAATTTTTAATTCCATGTCCCAGAACCTGGAAATTAATTTTCTGGGCAATTGGCTCCCAGGTTGGGTGCAAAGGGTTTCAGTGAATGGGGTAACATCAGGCTGGTGACCAGTCACTAGTAGGGTTCTGCAGGGCTCCATTTCAGGGCCGGTGTGTTCTCAACATCTTTGATGTTAATGAGACGTTCAAGGAGAACGTCCTTGTTAACAACTAGGATGCAGGACTGGAAGGCATACTAAGTAAGTTTGCCAGTGTCACTAAGTTGGGAGGAGCTGTTGACTCCCTCGAAGGCAGAGAGATCTTAACAGAGGGCTGGGCACCAAAGTATTGCTGGTTGAATGCACGATCTAAAAAATACTATTAAATTTAATGATAAATCTATCTTTGGCTCCAAGTTCTGGAACAAAACCTTCCTCATCTCTGCTCTCTGGTGAGCAGTCATAGGGCCAGAAGGAAAAGCATGAAGTTGTGACAGGGAAGGTTTAGGCTGGACATTAGGACAAAGTTCTTCACCCAGATAGTGAATGGGTACTGGAACAGGCTCCCCAGTGAAGGGGTCACAGCACCAGCCTGACAGAGTTCCTTAAATGTTTGGACAATGTTCTCAGGCACATGAGGATGGTGCTGTGCAGGGCCAGGAGCTGGACTCCAATGATCCTTCTGGGTCCCTTCCAAGTCAGGTTATTCTCTTATTCTGTGAACCCCAAAATGTTCAGATTTCAGCAGTCGTGTAAAGGAAAAAAAGTAAAGTAAAAATTAAAGCCTTTCTGACCACTTTGCAGCTGCAGAGAAACTGAGCTCACTTTCTGTCTTTAGGTGGAAAACAGACAATGGGAGTAGAGATAAGCAAAAGTGAAGGAAAGATTCTATAGCAGGGGTCTTTAGTGTCATGAGTGATATAGATGTTATCAGTGTAGGCTGTGTTCAGATTATTTCTAGCTGTAAAGGAATTAAAGGAAATAAAGTGGAACTGTGAATCAAATATTTTTTTCTTTTTAATTGACATTTACTGAATCAGATAACCAAAAATTGTTAAAGATAAAAAATAGAAATGGATAGAAGATGGAGTTAGATTTTTGAAGAATGAGCTAATTTGTGGATTCTTGAATATTAAGCTGTGATTTATAGCTCATAAAGTCCCTAAATGCTCCTTGTCATGTGCTTTCAATGTAACTGGTTCTACCCGAACTCTTTTTTGAATACAGCTTCTGGCAACAGCTCAGTTCAGTGTAATGAGGTCTTCTCCTATGAGGAATCATTGACATGCTAATTTGTCATCTTCTTTCTTTTTTTCTCCAGTCTCCCACAGTCAAATCACTCGCCTGTACAGTCGCTTCACCAGCCTGGACAAAGGAGAAAACGGCACTCTCAGGTGGGTAATTGGGCTGTACTTGCATTGGCACATCTGTACTGGTGGCTTGCTGTTGCAGGATGTCTGCCTGTTTTTCTCATTAGCAAATCACTGAGGCTGTTGTAACAAGTTTTTTCATACCTACTGTCTACATGAAAAGTTTAATTGTTGAGCTGAGGTGCTCTAAGTAACAACTGTCTTTACTGTTGTGTTGAAGGTTTGTAGTAGTTAATAGGAGAAAGTTCAGATTTGCTATTCAGAGTCTTATAAAAATGTTCAGAATTGTGAAACAACACTTTTAGATTGTTATTTCTTGCCTTTCTTTATATGTTTCTTCTACTATTTAAATACAGGAATGGTTCTGCTGTGTCATCTTTATCCTGGCTTTCATAAGAAAAAAGGTCTATACTTACTTGCCTCTGATATCCAGTGTCTTAAAACACTACTTGGATCTGCAATCCATTTACTATATTTAATTTTGCACCTCTTGTTGAACACCCATATCTATTAGTATGCTTAAAAATAAAAAAAAGAGCTGGAACCAAGTCATTGTGACTAAACATTCTATTATTTAAAGTGGTAGTGCATAATATTCTAAGATCTTTAGTGTTTGTTTCCTATCTGCAATTTGAAAGCTACAGAAGTAAACTGGTTTCTAACAGCTTAGTCATTAATTAAAGATGAGTCTTTAACTTTATCTGCAAAATATTTTTCATTTTGATGGACCAAGTCTGCTAGAAAATAGTATTCCCAACCAAAAGGTAAACTCTGGTGAGATGATGGCCTGTTAAAATATATCCCTGCCTGCTGTCATTCTGTAGCCTTTCCTGCTCTCATGGATTTTGTTTCCCATTCACCTTGTAGCCACAGCGGCACAGGAAAGATGGAGAAGAATGCAGGAGAGAGTAGGAAGGAGAAAGGCACATCGTTGTAGCATAACATGAGATCTGGCTCTTACAGAGTTAATTTCTTTCATAGCAGCTCTATCCCAGTCAAATTCAGTGATTCAGGCTTCACCTGAGGTGTTGTATGTGATCTTGTAAAATATGACTGCAGGATGCACTATAAACCCAGAAAAGCTATAGGCCTACCTTTAAACCAACCTAACTGTAATGCTGGAATCACCTCTTAAAAGGTCAAAGTGGCAAGTTGTAAGGTACGTGGTCTTTGGCAGTACTTTGGGCTTAGTGCACTTTCCTTTCCTGAAGGAAATGCGCAGTTCCTTCTGGTGCCATGAACTGCTGACTTCTCAGCATTTAAGTAAGTGGATGTGGAATTGTATGGTAAACAGGACTACAGAGTGATTGTTTTAGGTTGAAAATACTCTCCTTCCCTTTTTGCCTTTTGTAGGGTTTGAGGCTGATTGACTCCAGTGCTTTGGACTGTGGCTGTACTGTAAATTTCTTGCATAGCTGAAGGGACTAAATGGATTGTGCACATTAAAAATTGGCTTGGGATGGGATATGCAGGAACTTCCAAAAGCCCACTCTGACACATAAACCAATACATTATATAAATTGTAGCATTGGCAATTCTGATGTAGAGATCAACTGATGAGATTGTGGATAAGGTTAATACTCCTTATGTTTAAAATTATTTGGAAAAGAACATTAACAGCCTTTTCAAACTTTATATGTGAATTTAATATTCATTGATGAATAAAGGTGATGGCTACTGAATTAGTCTAGCACAATTTGAACCTAGGACGTGCTCTTCCACATCTCTTGCATGTTCTCCTCCAACACTAAATTCACTTACTGAATCTGTAAGGTTTGTATAAATGTCAAAGTGATTGTACTCAGTTTATGTAAGAGGAGTAATTGATTAAATATGCTATGAATGTCTGTTGCACAATGCTTAGTTTCACAGTATTATGCATCAGGAGGAGGCAGACTTCCATTGTTGATAATCATGTAGTGCTTAGGAGAGGAAGTGGAGGTTGTTTGGAAAATCCTAGCAACTGTGCGTATTATGATCCCTTGACTTGCAGTCTTGCCCCCTAAGCACAGCCCACTCTCAAACATGTCTGACTTAAGAGTGGCATTCAAGTTTTTAAACTTGTTCTGGTACCCTCAAAATGCAGTTTTATAAGTTTAAGTAGTGGAAAACTACTTCCTGAAAAATAGATTGAGGAGAGAGCAAGAACTACAGCTCGGAAGGTCATAGATGTTGGTTTCTGAGATACAGATCAAAGAGAACTCGATGCTTTAAGACGAGTAAGAAGTTATCACTTGCTTACTACCACCAGACAGTTTAGAGGGTATGTCTTCTGTTTGTTTCCTGTGAGCAAGATTTATTGTTTCCGTAAGGATGACTTGCACCTTTGACTTACAAATCAAATGTGATAAAATCACTCATGTGACCATGATTAGGAAAAGAAATGTCAGTCAGTTCTTTATGGCATGAAATAAATCTTTAAATGTGTACCACACTTCTGAAGAAGAGCAAAGTAAAGAGCACTTTGTACAGAAAATCTGGTAGATGATGATTAATCCTGGTAGTTCTGAAACTATAATCAAAAGCAGAAATCTTTCATAGCCAGATATTTCTATCCAGTGTACCTATGTGCAATTTCAAGGTACTTTGTTTTTAAAGACTTAGAAAAATGAAATATTAGAGATGGTTATTGATAAAGACAAAGCCTTGTCTTCAAAAAGTTTTTGGTTTTTGCTTCCTTTTTTCCCTTCTCACATATTTATTCTCTAAGTGATTACAGCCATTTTTACCTGTAAAGATAAAAATATCAGGTTTACCTTCACCTTTCTTTAAAAGTGTAGAAAAATTTTGTAATTTTCCTTAGCTTTTTCTAAACAAAATGAATTTTTCTAAACAAAACCATGTTGAAAAAGACAAGACAAAACTGTTCTTGAAAATTCTTTTGTCACCTTTGATTTAAATATTGTGACATGCTGAGTTGTCAAAACAAAAGATTGATACCCTTGGTTGTCAATAGCTACATCTAAATTGTGAAATCTGGAATATACTTGTTTTGTTTACATCCTAACTATAGCTCAGGAGGAAAAGAGTGCACATTTCCTTACTTACATGCTGATTTCCAGTATGGGGAAATAGTATAGCATGAACAGGGCAAGGATGTGATTGCTTAGTGAGTGTCCCTGTTGGGCTGGTACTGCAGTGTACACCACACAAGAATACCTTTGTTCCAAAGCTTATCAACTAGTAAGTAGCTCTAGACAGACATACATAGAGCTGTAAAAGGAGGTACTTATGTACACTGCAATCTTTGCCTGTAACTTTTGTATGAAACCTCCCACTTAACAATAATTTCTGGGGCACTGGGGAAAAGACAGGTTAAGCACTTGAAAAGGGGTTTTTACTGTACAGTAATTGGTATAGCCTGGCAAGCATAGAAGAAGGAAGGATCTAAAAGCTGGTAGCTACAGAGAATAGACACACTGAGCTGTTTATACATGTGTTGTGTTTATGAAGGCTGTTCACACATGTCTTCTGGAGAACTTCAGAAAGCCTCTGATCCTGAGAGAAGGGTAACATGAGCCAGCCAGGCCATCTGTCAGTCTTTGTCAGCTGACTGAACCATCTGGGTCTGGAAAGATGTCAGGCTTGGTCTTAAAAGAGATACTTCAAGATTGCTAAACGTAAAAGCTAGCTCTGTGAATGTGGAATTCTTTACTTTTGCTCAAGAAAACGCAAAGCATTTTTAGCTTTATCTAAAATAGAAAAGACAGGAAGGATATGGGTTTGGATTGGAAAAGACAGGGTACAGGAATAGTCTATACTGGTATCTTCAACCACGCTTTATGCATGCTGCCTTTTTTCTTCCCTTCCTTATTGCTCATCTAATTATCACCATTTGACATACTCCTTGGCCTTACGTTTATGAACCAATTAGTGCTGTGATAGTTAAGCAACTTTTAACGTTTGCGTAGAGCATGCGTAAGGATGGAGTTAGATGAGATGGATGACACAATCCTGAAGGGTGGGGATATTGGTATTCTTTCCCCATAACATCTCCAGGCTTCCAGCACCCCATTGTCAGCTGTGGTGCTCTTAGACTTTTTTGAAGTTTTTCAACTGCCTCAAGTTGTGAATTCAACAGAAAGCTAATTGGAGAGGGGGAAGGTAGGGAGTTTTTTATAGGGGATTTGTTAGACCATCAAAAGTTAGATGAATGCAAAGCTGATGTTAGCAAAGGGGATGGAGCAATGGAACCTCTTCAGCAGCGAGCTCTTAAATATTTTTGACTAACTTGCATAATACGCCTTACTGCTTTTAGTTATTTCCCTTCTTCAAGTCATTTCTTGTTACCTGTATAGTCTGGGCATCTTTCCTTTCCTCTGCCACTTCTGATGCTCATATATATGGGAGTTTTTTCCTTTCCATTATTTTACTTTCCCTCAGTTCTAGATACCCCTCCTCATCCCTGTCACCCTGAACAAATAGAAGAGCGTTTTGCTAACATCTAGAAGTAACAGGAGAATGAACAACCAGAAACAGAAGGAAAAAAAGGGCCTTGTAGGCTTTTTGCAGTCTTTAGGATCAGGCAGAACTACCTTTACAGTAGGGATCTGCTCTGTGCCTTGGAGGGAATACTCAAGCTTAGGAACACTTGTCCTGCTTAGACTCTAGAAATTCTTAGCTGCAAATGACATCTAATTGTGAATACACTGGCGTATGTATTAAATGGTTGGCCTGCATAATGTCCACATGCAATTTAAGGTGGCTTTGCCTGTTGCATTTAAGCAAAGATTTCATAAGAGCCAGGTTCATGTAAAGATACCTTAGAAGAGCCTTGTTGCCCATGAACACACAAGTAGTAGAGGGTATTAAATTTCATGTGAGTGCCAGCTTCAGCCAGGTGAAGTTGGTCCCTAATGAATGCAGGAGAGCTTAGCTTTATAAAGTGGAGAATAACTTGACTCACATTCATTTGCTTTTATGGCTGTTGCAGCTATTTCAGTTATAACACTCACTCAGTAATGTGCTCTTAATAAGCAAAAGTGCTCTGCTGCAACCCTGATAATGACAGGACAAATAGATTTGAAACTAGGGAATTATTTGTGGTTAATTGTTAATCTCCTGTTAGAAAACAGAATCACTGGAGGCTGAACACTAAAATGTCATTATATGCAAGTAAAAATTTCTGAAGGATTAGGATTTTGGTCTACATGGGAGAGAAAGCAGCTGCTGCTTTTAGGTTATAAAGTTAGCATTGACATTGAAGTTCTGCTGTTAAAATCCTGTTATTAGGACATAGGCTTTCCACATCACTGCATCTCCTGCTTAAATCACTAATGCATACTTTGCCCTTCAGCAATAGCTTAAAATGTTGCAGTCCTGAAGGGTCCGGTAACAAGTTGATCATGTTAAACAGATGTTAACTTTGCCTATTAAAAATAACACGGGACCTAGTCAGAGAAGTTTGCTGGGATAACTTCAAAATATGGTCAGGTCACTCTGTTAGAAGGTCAGACAGTTTAACCAGATGCACTGTAATTAGGATTCTTAACAGTGCTGTGGTGGTGACTGGGTGCAAAAAGTGCTTTAGAACACATTTAAAACTAGAACATCTTGCTTCTCTGCCTTTCCCAAGCTAGACTGGTGATAAAGTCAGCCAATTTCTTTTTTACCCTTTAATATCACAGCAATATAAAAGGCTTTTATATTTAAATAATCTCAAAATTTGTTTGTGTTTACTTTACTTAGCCAAGTTTTTGGTTTAATGATGTCATGAGTCAGACCTTGCCAGTTTAGTTAGTGAACATAGTTTTGAAAAATAGCAAACATTCAGTAATCAAGTTTGAGACTTTGACCCCAATTTCAAAACCAGCAAGACTGCATTCAACTTGAAGGGAACTGCCAATATTTCTGGAGACTGGGCAGGAAACGTCAAGTTACAGATGCAGACAGAACAGGGTGGGAATTTCTTACAGCTTAACCCCCTTGCTGTTTGCAATTTAAAATCTAGATGATTATGAAGTGCATCTTGAACTAACTGATAAGTTGCTGTGTTCTGTTGTAAGGAAAAACAAACCAAGCAAACCTGCTCACTAAGATACATTTGGTGTGTTTGCCTTGGTCACACCAAGATTACCCACTCTGCTGTCACTGACAGTCTGTCAGGTTGAAAGAAAAGAGAAAATCCTAGTGCAATTCTAATAGGAGAATGAAGCCTGTGTTCATGTCATACTGTTCTAAAATGTGTATGCAGTACAGCTCACAATGTCTTTCAGATCAGAAGAATAATAGTGTGAGCATAGCTGTGTTTATATTGTGCTGTGTACAAATAATCATGACCAAAAAATAGAATGGCTGGTAAGAGCAGTGAGTACTTGCCTGTACTGGTGAAATTATATCTGGTGTACAGGTACCTGTAAAAGTGTAACACTGCCAGTTTAAAATAGGAATACTGCTTGGTTGAAGCCAAAATAATCTGAAATTTGGTATTTATAATAAGATACAGATTTATTGCATAAACAAACAAAAAATACCTATCAGAACATGCTAATGACCTACAGTATGCTTAGAGAAGTGTGGTATTCTTCCAGAATCTGAAATAAGGCAGTCTAGAAAAGTCATGACAACTCATATGATTAAGTACCAAAATAATTATTTAAAAACTCCAATGAATATTTTCATTGAGCCAGAATTTCTTTCAAAACAACTTCAGAAGCTTTACTTTTCTTATATTGCAAACTAGTTGGCATCATTACAGTAAAGTTTCTATAGGTTTGGCATTGTCTTTTGTTTTATTTTGCCATTAGTCATAAAGAAAACATGATTTAAAAAGTTGCATTTTCAAAATCACCAAACGTCTTGCTGCAGAAATAGGATTCCAGTGATGTTTTACTGTAAATTGTTTTTAAGCAACTTCTCTGACTTCAACTTTATGCTGACTGGTTGTGTTCTTGCTTTCCTTAGCCGTGAAGATTTCCAGCGGATTCCAGAGCTTGCCATCAATCCACTCGGAGACAGAATTATCAATGCCTTCTTTCCAGAAGGGTGAGTTTCAACAAACTGAATTTATGAGCAGGCACAAAATCTGTGGTTTGTCAGAAGTTTTCATAGAAGTGAAATGCTGATAGTTACAGCACAGAATTTGGATTGACTAATACCTGAATACTTCAAACTTGTCATGCAGTGTGTGTGGGTACATAATTTCCTCAGCATATTTTAATTCTCTTAATGAGAAATACTTTACGACTTTACAAGACTTTTTTGGGCTTTATTTATTGACAAGCTCAGGCTCCTGTCACAGTTTTCCACTCTTCTTCTTAAACTACTGAACACTTTATGAAGAAATTCCTGGCCGTGTATAGAATTTGGTTCTTAAAGCAAACTTGTATCAACACTATTCTGTGCATTACAATCAACTAATTTGGTCTCACTGTATCTGATATAGTAAGTGTACCATTGTTATTACATTGTGTTTTTTGGTAGGTTGATTTTAGGTTTTTATTACATTTAAGACATAGATTGTGACACTTCTAACACAAATCCAAAGAGATGATCAAATTTTCAATATTGTCTCTCTTCATTATGCCTCTCTGGTTTGTCCTGTGGAATCTCTTGAACACAGTTGCTATTACTGATTGATGAAGGTTGGATTGTCTGATCAAGTCATAATAACAGCTAAAATGAGGCAAGGTTTACTAAACAGAAACAAGGCATCCTGGGAAGTACTTACATGGCTGGTTCCCACAGAAACTAGAGAACTCTGTCAGAGAGCACTGAGCAATGACAGCCCCACAGGCAGGGGCCAGGGGGGACAGCAAAGTTGGAAGGGCTGCTGTACTTGCTGAAGAAGGGCACACACCTGAACACAAAAAGCAGAGCAGGCCCAGTGACTGCAGTCAGGTCGGCCGGTCTGACAGAGCTGAAACTGTATCAAGTCAATCCAGATCAGCAAGATAGCTCAGGCATGGTTAAGGGTGAGGGCTTCAGCTCAAATAGACTTTGCAGATCAGGGAAGGAGAGCCCTCAGTAAGATTTCTCACAGCTTCTGGTTTTTTACACGTCATACTTTCTAACAGCACAATCCCAGTGTGTAACAGCATAGGCAGCCAAACCCTGGGGAGGTGAGAATGAGAGTTCACATGGTCTTGGTGCTTTGGATATTAATAGTCTTCCTCACTGAAATGAAGAGCTTGTATAAGGTATGCCAAAAACTGACCTGCTGAATTCTTACACAGAGAGGACCAGGTGAATTTCCGTGGATTCATGAGGACACTAGCCCACTTCCGACCCATAGAAGATAATGAAAAGAGCAAAGACCAGAATGGACCAGAACCACTGAACAGCAGAAGTAACAAGCTCCACTGTAAGAAATATGAACCTTCCTATAGAATCAATTATTTTTTCATCTTCTTTTTCATTGGGTTGGGGGTTTTTTTCTCCCTTAGGATTGGAGGAAAGGGGCTTGGGATTTCCTGCACAGTTATTTCCTGTGGAATGATCTCTTCTAATGCCTGATCTTTTGAAAAGCTTACTTGGAACCTTATCTGTTCAGAATGTCAACAATTGAGCCATTGTTTTATTAGAATTTGGTGGAATTAGTTGACTTTTGAGTAATATACATACTTTGCAAGATGTCTCATAACAGAAGTGTGTTTCAAAATGGTTTGTATCAAAATTATTTCAGATTTAGAAGCCACATCCCATACATGAATGAGCGTTTGTGCTTATTTCTCCAGTTCTTCAATAAAATTCTGCTTATTTTCCCCACCTTCAGCTGAGTACTTTCTTAAGTATTGGATATCTGCCTACAGTTTATGAGCAGAATGCTCTTTCTTGCTAATCAAAGTTGGCCACAGTCCTCAGAGCAGTTAAAATTTGTCATATCTCATCCAGAATATAGTCAAAGAGAACGAATGATCATATAAAAATGATTGGCTCTAAAATTAAAGGTCTGAATGTATCTTAGTGATAATTATTCTTCCATGACTTGAGGTTTTTAGGAAATATCCTGCAAGCAGAGTGCTTGTGAACAAAAAAAAATTCCATTATTGGCAGTAATGCTATTCCTGTGTGTGGTAACAATACTTTATGGAACTGAGGATGAGTTTTATGGTGAATTAAAATTCTAAGCTAATTCTCGTAAAATAATTTACAAGTACTTTGTTTTGTTGTTTTTCTTTCAGAGACATCTATTATTATGAATATAAATAACATCACTTGAATTTAACTGTTCCTTCTGTTTCTTTCTTTCTTCTCTGTAGTCGCCTTTCGATTATATGATCTAGATAAAGATGACAAAATTTCCAGGGATGAGCTTCTCCAGGTAAATAGCACAGGGCTGCTTTGAATGACTCAATCATGATGATCTCTGTCACTTCATACCCACTTAGAAGAGGGGAGTTGCAACGGTTTTCTCAAAAGCTGCTGGAGTAATGTGGTGGCTTTGCTTACCTCTGCCTTAAAGCTTTAAATATAGTATGGGACTTTATTCTTATTTGCTAGGCTAGGCAGATACTTTGCTAGTGACACCTAAACATTCAACAAATATACTAAGCTCCTTAAAAACTACCTTCTGTAACTTTTAAAGGTGCTTCTAAAAGGATTTCAAAAGGACAGTCACTGAGGTGGTTTAGGTTGTTTGCCTGATCCTCTGTGCATCCTCTGTACACAATAACACTTCTTGAAATTGCAGCAAAGGTAGTCAAAGTTCATCAGTTCTGCATATGTATGAAACTAGGCTTGTGCTAGGAGTAATTACACGCTACTAATCCTGGGAAGTACACATGGCAATTTGTGGTTCCTGATGTAAGAAAAAGGTTTGCTTTTGACTGGAACTGCCCTCTTCTATCCGCTCAGAAAATGCTTTACTGAATGTGGAGGGTAACAGCACTGGACCATGTACCTTCAAGATTCCTGTAGGCAAACATCTCAAACAGCAGATATTCAATCAAACGCTGGTATGTTTTCTGGGGGAAAAAGTAGAAGCATTGGACAAAATTACTCATTCCTAGTTCCAAAAATTTTCTCTTGCTTCTGCCTTTTCCTGCTGCCTAGTGAAAAAAGCGGGATTCTTTGTCAGTGGTGGCTGCAAAAGATACCTGTATTTCCTGAAAGACTTAATGTACAAAGGACAACAGAAGTCTGGCTAGAAATTAATTCAGTGAAAATCTTGTGTGGTGTTATTTTGACAGTACACATAAAAAGGAAACACTAAGAATACTTCTGTTCCTATGTCAGTGATGGTTATTTTGTATGCTGCAGGTATTACGGATGATGGTTGGTGTAAATATTTCTGATGAACAGCTGGGCAGCATTGCTGACAGGACAATCCAGGAAGCTGATCAAGATGGAGATAGCGCCATCTCCTTTGCAGAATTTGTAAAGGTTTGTAAACTATGTTTTTAATGACTAAGTGAAGCTGCTCAGTAATGAGCAAGTCATTCAGACAAATGCAAATGGGAACAGAGAGGAAGTCATTGAAATAGTTGTGCCTGCATTTGGGCAAAGCCTTCTGCTAGCTTTTTAATTCCTTTATTAGTCATGTTTTGGTTTTTTCAATACTGTCAGGGTGCTAATAATTAGTCCACATGTTTCTTTATACTCTTAAATAAAGCTACAGCCCTGAATATACTGAAGAACTTTCTGTTTTGCAGCTTCTTTCTACACACGTAACCTGACTAGCACAGTTAGAACAGATTAATTCTTCTGCTGTAATAGCACTGATCAGCTTTCACGGGTAGATTTCATCTATCTGCTAGCAACACAACTAATACTGGTATTCAAGTTCCTAGCTCTGGTACTTTGAATTACATGTTGTGACAGTCTAAAATAGGTAATAGTAGGGAGCCATTTTAGATAGTTAGTGGAGAAAGTTATCCTGTAGCAGAGCAATTTCAGCTATCTAATGGGACACTATTGACAAGAGGAACTGGACTTATCTTGGAGATGACAAAAAGGCAACAGAAACAAGTTGCAACATGGGAAATCGCAGTTTGCTCTAAGGAAAATGTTTTACAAGGAGGATGGTCATAGTTTCTGAAAGATGTAGAAATTTCTTCCTTGGAGCTACTTAAAGCTTTTAACCAGGACAATGCCCTGAGCAACCTGATTCAGTCGGCCCTGCTTTAAGTAGGAATTGAGGGATTGGACTGAAAGACTTCCAGAGGTCTCATCAAACATAAATTACTTTCATCTTGGAGCACTGAAGTCTGCTGCCTGAAATAGCCTGGAGCAGAGTAATGTCTTCATGCCTCAGTGTTAATAGCAATTTAGTGAATGAATTTGCCACCCCAGTTTTACAATGATCTACATTAGTGGTGCTCTGGTCTTGATTTTGCTCTTCAATGATTGCTCATATCCCTTTCTGTACTCCATTCTCCCTTGTGTTTCCTGGCTGGACATTACCACACAGTCTAGTTTTGGAAATCCAGGCCTTTCTGTGCTGTTGGCGGACTGAAACCACATGAGTTGCATTTTGATTTGCCTTCTTGTGGCTTTGATGGATATGTTCCTTCCCTTGGATGGACCTTAGCCCACAATGAGAAACAGCAGTCTCCATCTAGATGAAGGACTGGCATGCTGAGTTGAAGACATCCCACATTCCTGCCCATTCCCTCACTACTAGAATAAGAAACCTTGTAGGAGAGATGTACAGTAACTTAAGTAGCTGTTTCTCAATTTTATTGCAGGTTTTGGAGAAGGTGGATGTAGAGCAGAAAATGAGCATTCGATTCCTTCACTGATGGATGGAGAACCTATTTCTTTCTACTCCAACTATGTAATGAATAGAACTTCATTTTCTCCTCAGCACCATACCCCAGAGCATTGCTACTGGTGCACATACAGTACATCTCCAACCCCTCCCTGATTTGTTCTACCAATGTGAACATTCCCTGTGCAACAGGAACGAAGGGAAATGGCTGCCATGCAACTTGGAAAAGGAGCTTTTTTAAATGCTGTCCATCCTGGGTTTTTTGCCCTTTCTCTTTTCTCCTTCCGCACTACTGTTTTAGTAAAAATGTCTCTCCTTAAACACTACTGTTTAATCTACAAACTGATTCTTCTGAGCTCTGAATCTGAGACTAGAGAAACAGAAACATGCCACAGAAGTGCCCTCTGAAACATTTCAGAGACAAGCATCTACTCAAATACTAGGTGCATTGATAATGATTCTCTTTTGCCACATTACAGCTGCCTTTTTTTAAAAAGTATTTTTGCCCCTTTCCCATTTGTTCTTTACATGCAGACTTGTTTCTTCAGTGCTTCTAAGTCTGCCTTTTACTTGAGAACTTCTCAATTTGTATGGCTTCATTGTACAACTAGCACAAATGCACGATGATAGCCAAGAGTACTTTAAAGTACTGTGAACAGATTTTTTTCTTTGTGGAATGAATTCACAAGGACAATAGTAGAATCTATGGTGGGGACACATTGTGGTATTCTCAAAAGGAATAGGAAATCTGCACTATGTCACTTGAACTGTTCTAGCAGCAGAGGCAGAAACTTGTTTCTTTCCTTTGCATAGCTTGCAGGCCTGACAGCTGGTGGACCATGAAGTGTCCTCTGCAGATTGTTTTTGTCTAAGAGCCCTCCCCTCATCAGGGTGGTTTTGCTTCTGAAAGTGTAAGTTTGTTTACCAGTGTACAAAATGCAAGAAAACCGGTCGTGCTAAAATCTGGATTTGTAGTTCTATAACTGCCCCTGGTAACAGTGTCATGAAACACGAAATTGTGAAACTTGATTTTATAGGGTTTTTCCCCCAATTATAGTGGCCTGAATAATGAGTAATTATTTATATTTTCCAGTATGAAAATCCTAGTCTGTTATATTTGTGTTGAGGGTGGTAGCTGTATTTAAGAAAGCTCTGGCATAAGAATACAATTTGGGAAAGACCATATTATCCCAAATATTTCAGAATGTATTTCTATACAAATCTCTTTGCAAGTGTAAGATGATTAATACTATTAATGTAATGCTGATAAATTAAAGAGATCGAAATCCTTGAAGGTTCAATAGTAACAGTTTTCTGTGGCTAGATTGACAAATGATCTCGTGTAGTTCAGCTGGAGCATTCCACAATCTGGGAGATACTTCCAATAAAACCAAAAAATCCTGGGAGCTTGTTTGTTGAAGAATCGGTGTTATAACTGCTTCTCTGTCATGTGTTAACGTTTCTATAAATATTTACCAGTCTCAAAACTACTGTTAAATGTGCATTTCCTTTTTCTCAGTTCCTTCAATCATCACTTTCGTTGAAAAATAACATGCAAGTCTCTGAAGGATTTTTGATTTGTTATAAATAAAGGAATTCAAAAGTAAATATTGCACTTCATAGTTTTGCAGAATGCAGTACAGTTCCAGAAAGAATTGTAAATTTAAAAGCTCTGTTCTGTATGAGAAAGAAACATTATACTTTTATAACTGCCTCATGTAAAATAGTAATGTAACAGTACTAATGAAAAGTAAAAATTGCTGTAGCTTTGTGATTTGCTTAGAAGTAGGTGTTGCTGTCTTCTGACACTATAGTTGTAACCTACAGTTGTGCCTTATTGTCCCAGTGAGACTGGATATTGTATTTATCGATCCATAAATAAACCTTCTACTGTATAAACAAAAATCAAAACCAAGCCATCCCCTAGCTCTTCCTGTAGGGCAACCAACTATCCTTTAATTACTGGAAAAGCTAAATACCAGTAAGAATGGTGCTAGCAGCTCTTACAGATCAGTTTCTTATAACTGAGCTTATTTTCAGAGTATTGATAATCCTTTATTCTGGTGGCAGAAACCAGTGCAAAACATGACCTCCAGAAGAGGATACACAGACATTTTGTGACATTTGTTTCTACAAGCTCCCACCTCAGATGTCAGAGATTTTTGCTAATATGCTTGAAGGTGAACACAAATAGTGTAACACATGTACTGCAAAAAATCCCCATAACACAATTGAGCAAAGAACAACCAACCTTCCTACAATAATAGAAAGATTCTCAACTATCAGAATCTAACTTTGCCATTAGCAGAATAAATCACATGTAAATAACTATCTTACTTAATATTTTGAAAACTATATATATATAACATATAGTTTAAAAGGTGGTAGACAGTAAGAGGAGTTTTAGAGACCTGAGATGTTAAATTTGTTAAATTTAACTAAGCTGTACAGATACAAGCAGATTTCCACTAAAGTAGTATTTTTAGCATACCTGGTTGCTTAAAGTATTTTGTCGTGAAAAAGGTCATCTTGAAGGTGAAGGTGTTGGCAGCTCAGAGACAGAGCTACTTAATATTTCATCTTTGTCTTTTGAAAAAGTAGTACAAGGGATAGGATTTTAAATAGAGATGAACCATTCTCCAGTCTACTGAGGGAGAGTCTTATTTTCAAATCTGCAGCCATGAGTTTATATTGAGGCTGGCTGGAGGCTTGGCTGCAGAACTGTGTGGTTGCAGCTGGTTACCAGAGTGTTGTGAAGACTGTAGAAAGCAGAGTTGGGTTTGATATCTAATCACTACTGAAACCTGTAGGCCCCTTAGCTTGGCAACAACTGGGAAAAGAAAATAATCCAAATACAGGATTTGACTCATGAAGAGCAGGAGTAAAAATGTTGTTCTGTGACTGTAGAGTGGAACATAAAAACGTGGTTTTGGTTCTTTGAAACTGGAGCTTTGGTTGCAAATAGAATGTGGGCATAATATTGAAGTTAGGAAAAGCCTTTCATTCCAGTCTGCTCTAAAACGTGACGCCGCAGAAAAGCGTTGTATTAAATGTTTGAACACACGTGTTAAGATTTCGAGCTAAATGGTTTGTAGTAATGTGGGATGAATCACGGTGAGACGGGGGTGTTTCTCGAGAGTTTTCTGAATGGGTATGTACTCCTCTTCACACTCTTCAATGCATCCACCCGTCAGCTTGAAGTGCAAAATTATCGCTGCTAAAAAAAAATTGTAAAAAAAATTGCGGATGACAAAAACCTGGCAGAATGACTGACGGCCGCCTTTCGGAGCACGCACGATGCTCGATGAGCTCACCAGGTGCTATAGGGCCGGCGGACCGGGACCTCACGGCCGGTGGTGCGCGGCGGGTGCTCAGCGCGGCCGCCCTTGCGGCGCGGCCCCTTTAAATCCCCCTGGAGGTCACCGGAGGACTCGCCCCGGGCCAGTCCCGCTCGCGCCGCCCGAGCCAATCTCTTCCCTCTGCCCTGCCCGGGGCCAATCAGAGCGGGCCGCCTTGGAGGCGGGAGGCCAGTCCTGTGATTGACGGCGCCGCTGGCCAATCATCGCCAAAACCGGAGGGCTGATGCACGGGCACGGCACCCAATAGGCTCGCGGTCGAGTGGGCGGGCCCGGGCGCAGCGAGCCCCCGCCGGGAGGCCGGGGGAAGGAGGGGAAGATGGCGGAGTGAGGGGCGGAGGAGGCGGAGGGGCCGGGCCGGCCGCGGCCCCGCGGCCTCGGCCGCGCTCAGGTGAGTGCGGCGGGAGCGGCGGCTGCGTCCAGCCCGAAGCCTGGTGCCGGATCCCTGACTGGGCTGGGACCGAGCGCCCGCACACCCGCCTCCCCGTCCCGCCCCGTGATTGGGCTGGGCCCGGGCTCGGGCTCGTTCCCGCGGCGCCGGGCCGGAGCAGTGGGAGCGGCCGGGCGCCGTCGCCGCGCCCGCCGCGAGCGGGGAGCGGGCCGGTGGCCGTGTGGGGACGGACGGCAGCCGGAATCGGGCCGGTCCCACCCGCTCGCTGCCCTGGAAAGTCTGAGCAACTTCGGCGCTGGGGACGAGGGCGGCCGGCAGCTCCGGCCCGGGCTGCAGCAGACGGCCGAGGGGAGAGCCTGCTCCTGCACGGCGGTGCCCCGCAGCCCACTGGGCACAGCTGTGGCCGGCAGCGACCTGGGGAAGGGAAACCGAAATTATCATCTGAAATGAGGCTTCGCGTGTCTGCTACGAGCATAGCGCCGAATACAGCTACGCTGCTGTTATCGTTCTTATTCATGCGATGTGTGGGCTGGATGAATTCTGCTGATCTGAATGGTTATATCCTTTTATGATGTCTGTAGTGCTGACACAGGAGTGCACAAAAGGGATGGCTTCCTAATTGTTTGACAAAACCGGAAGGTACAAAAATCTGCCCTGCAAAACAAGTTCTATGGAAATCGGAGAGATTATAGTGGAATTTGATTTAGCCCTATGCATTCTTGTTGATAATAAGGTAAAAAGAATTTAAGGCACCATGAAACACGTGAAACTGTTTTCAGTTAGTACTAAGTGCAGTAACTGTTTTCAGATAGTGCTAAATGCACTATCTTTTCCTTCCAAGTTAGTACCGTGCAGGCCAGGTATGCCCCGAATTCTTCAAAATTGTCCGTGGAATTTTGTGCTAGAGAATGGTATTTATTTTAAATCTGAAGAAAAAAAAAATGGGGGGATCAACAGTTCTTACTGAAAGCAAAAGAATTAATGTCACTGGCATGAGATTCCTTGTGTTCTGTGTTTGACAGCAGTTCTTGAGTTCATCCTGGAATTGTGATTGCATTTTCAATCTGCATGGCAGGTAAAAGAAACAAGTTGAAGTGGTTAAATGAGAAGCATAGCTTTAGATTTTGTGGAGACATGGTGTGTTACCACAGATGACCTAATAATGAAGTAGTTATTTGTAACTGGTGAAATAACTCAAAAGAAATATAAGCGTGTCTTATAATTAGTTCTGAAAGCAGTAGCTACTTACGAGAAAAATTTCTTAAGGAACATTTTACAGATTTTTGTGTGCAACATTACTCATGTAGTAACAGTAATAGCAGCTTAGGAGCAACATAACATTAAGACACAGTATGCTGCCACTGATGAATATTTCTACTTATACATGTCTGTGTATGAACTTTTTAAATATGTCAGAAGATTTGTCTTTGGCATACTACATATAAAGATAATTCTGTTTTATATTATCATTAGAAGAATAATAAGCAATCAGCTTACTTTTGTGTGAAGTTGTATACTACTTTAGCAGTAAGAAATTCATATGGATTAGTATTTATTCTTAATTGCTTTCAATGCACAAAGCTGTGAGAAGTAGTATCTTAAAAATAATATCAAAATTTCCTGTTGCTCTGGTATATGTCAAATCAATATGCATTGGTTTACAATCTTGCCCACAGTGGTGAGTCTGCAGTGTGAAAATTTGCATGAGCAGGCTATGCATCTCATGGTTGTCACTTCTTATTCAGGGGTGTCAAAAGTCATGGGCCAGCCAAGGCTAAAAAGTCCTGACCAAGTTTGTGAAGAGTCTGGAGTATCACTTGAACACCTCCCACATTCATTCTTAAAAACTAAAAAAGGAGCAGTGTTTGAAACCAGTCCTGACATGCCAGAGTTTATGTGATTGTGAGATGCAAAACCTGCACAGTCTTTAGGGGATTAAAAAAATGAAGAGGATTTTTCCAAAATAGAATGTGGAAGAAGGGTTGTTTCTTTGCCTGAGCAGTGTTCCTAGGGCACGTTCCTACAGTGTGGGTATCATGGAATTGAAAGCTCATCTTTAAGCAGTTTTCTCTGCTGTGGTACGAAGTACTGGTAAAATACTGTGCCAACAATAAGTAGATGTGCATTGGAAACCTGGTAAAAGAGGAAAGGGGTTTTATTTAAAAATACAGAGTGAAACAAAAAATTAAGGTGGTGTGTGTGTGGTGCCTGAGATGTCTCTACAGCAGCCAAGCACCATGCCATGGATCCAGCAGACTGGCAGTCTCTGTTGGCAGGGGACAAAAGTTGACAGGTCCTTACTGTCTCCTGGCCTCTTCCTAGGCTGGCAATCACTCCAGGCTTCAGATGTGCCTTTGTGAACTCTTTTGGAGGGAACATTGCCCTGTGTCTCTGATTGTCCTGGCTCTGGGTTATCGGTGTTGTCTCCAGATCTGGGTGTGTTCTGAAGTGGCAGGGGGTGTGACTGCCAGCCTGGGTGCTGCTTGTAAGAGCCCGATCCTGCCCAGTGTTACATTTGGTGCCTCCACACTCAGGCTCCCCTGTTCTTTCTCCAGTCTTACACTTTCTTTTACAAGTTCTCACCTTTGCCTTGGAGCTCTGATTTAGATGCTTAGTTCAAAGTTACCTAGAAAGCAAAAAGAGCATGAAGGCAGCTAATTTTTTGCAGGACTGTAAGCTACTTTCTATTGTATTTGTGTTTGTAATTTCAGTGCTTGTCGTCGTTCAGTCTCCAGGTTAAATTTGGCAGTTTTTAAGCCATAGGGAAAACCACAGTAGACTCGTGGGGGCTGGTTTTGCTTTCTGTATCTCCGTAGGTCTCCATTATGCTTCCCATTTTTTGTCTGTTGGTCTTTCTATATAAACCTGCTTCTAGATCTTTCCTTCCTTGCTTCCTCATACTTCTCAGGCTCTAGGCAAGAGAAGTGGAATCATCTTCTGAGTCTTTTTAGTTCTGCTCATCTCCTGGAGGATTTGTGTCTGTATAAGAGTCAAAGATAGTATTTTGGAAAGCCAGATCTGATGGATCACAGTTTTTATTGTACCTTAAAACAGAGCATGGAGGGTGGAGTGGAAGTTGGTTGCATAACTGTATACTATTATATTAATATAGTCTCCAATTCCAGTGTGCTGATAATGTCAGAACACCAACTTTGGTGGTTTTTTTTTTTTTTGCCATACTGATGGATTGGTAATACAGTATGTTAATATATATGAGAAGACAAATATTGCAGTTTTGCTGGTAAATTTATGAGATAGTACTTAATCTCTTTTTGGCTTTGGAATTCCTGAAATTACCGAACTTCTTCAATACAGGCACCTCTCTGAATGTGAGATTTAAAGTTCATGGAAACTAATCTTTAGTTATGGTAGAGAAAAAAAATGGGCAATAGGTCAAGACTTAATGAAAATAATACATTCTGAATTTTTAACAAAGAAGGAGTCATGTAGGCAGTGTTGAGCTTTCACAGTTATTTCTTGCTCCACATCAATTGATTGTGTGTTCAGTACAGTATGAAACAAGAAAAATGGCTTTTTTTTTTCTTTGTAATGTCCACTAGCTTTTATCTGAAGAGTTGATAGTTTCACTATCAGTCTCAGTGCCTGCTCATTTTCAATAACCTTGATATATATCCACTTGCATTTGCAAGTTCTGTTGGACTGCTGTGAACTCTGTGCTCACATAATTGATGAAAGTCAGGTAGAGAGTGTATCAAGCAGAGTAGTTAAAAACTGGGGCATTCAAAGTCAGTGAACTTTTTAAAATTAAAAAAGTAGGTTAAAGCTAACTGAATTTCAGTGTTGGATGAACCAGTCCTTTGCTTGAGTTGCTTTAAATGTCACCAGCTGCTTTCTTTTTTAATAAGACTTACTTTAGTGCTTAGTTTAGTTAATTCACAGTCTTATTGAAAGAAGTCCCAGCTTTTCAAAGATTGGATTGGTTTCTATTATGTGGTTTCTATTATGACAAGGCAATTTGGGATTATTACCAATTATTTACCAATGCTGGTAACTGTTCCTTTTCAAGTTAATTCTTTTGTGAAGCATATGCTGTTGGTTCCTTAATGTCTCAAAAATCACATAGTGCTTGGCTGGTTCTTGAGGGAAAATTTGAGTAGGAAGGGCCTGAACTAACAACATGGGAAGGAAGTAACTACCCTGAAATAGGGATTGTCTCATGGCTGGGGATTTTCTGAAGGTCCCGGTGCCTGGTGCTTGTAGAAATGCTGTGTTGTGCAGGAGTGTGGCAGCTAATAACTCTGCTAAGGAATTTTGAATGATTCAGGTTCTGTGTGATGAGATAGTTCTGCTTATAGCAATCCATTATTCTTCCAGTTAGGTTGTCAGCTCAGCATCCTCACTACAGTGGTTTGTTATTAACGTGAAAGAGTTTCTTGCCATACTGGAGACTGAATATGTGTCCATCTCACTTCCCATAAAAATGAAATGTGTGCCTCCAATTATTTAAAGTTTGTGTGTCTTGGCTCTTCCACAGTCTAATTCTCTTGATTTAAACTAAAAGAGGGGGTATATCTGATAATTTGAAATATAACATCAGCATGTTTTGTGTAGGAAGTCTAAAAATGTTACCTGGTTCATGGAAGGTACAGCTAATCTTTTGTGTATTATGCAGATAATCATGTATTATCTGAGCTGCTTCCTAGATGCAAATTTAATTTTGTTTGTTAATCTCTTTCTTTCTCAGCTCACGGAAGAGGATGTGGAATGATCAAAAATAATGGTGAGTACCCTTGGGAGGTTATTTAGGTACTAAATGTAAGGAACTAAACCAAGTTTGTCAGCTGATTTAGTTCCCTTTTCCCTGACCGAAGAAATCTGTCATTGAGATTTAAATTTTGTGTAGTGTGCTTTCAGAGAAATGGAATGTTGCCACAGTGTCAGATTTCAGCTTGGGCTTCACCTTAAAGAAACATTGATTTGACTATTATATGTTCTAACAAGAATAAATGCCTTGAAAGTTATAAAATCCCTGTCCTGTGGTGTCATTTGCTCTGCTAAAACAAATTATGTTAACTTGTAATAGTTTTCTTAAAAGTGTTATTTGTTAAATTATAGGATTGGAAGTATGATAAAATAACCAAATGTAAATTATCAAATAGGAAAAAAGTACATTCAGAATTTTTGAGATTACAATAAACTTCTGTAGTTTTATTTTTTCCCAGTGAATAAAATAAAGATATTTTGGTAGTTAAGGTGTGCAACAAAGGGCTATATTCTGTTCTCAGCTCTGTCACAAACCTTTGGCATGTTTTATTGCAGCTCTCCAGGTCTGTTTCTCCACATCTTCATAAGAATAAGATTTTCCCAACAGTCGATGGTCAGCCCAATGATCAGCTGAAATATTTGAGTGACTCAAGAGAGATATTGATAGTGACATGTACTATATTGCCATTTTCATGGTCTACTCACTGCTTCTAACATAGGAGCTGAAAATTGTCACTGGAAGACTATTTCTGGACTTCATCAACGGAATGGTTAAGGTAATTAAAATAAGAAATAGAGACAGGGAAAAGAAAGGAAGAGATTAGTTATTCTCATGTTCTTGTATAAGAGAAAGATTTTTTTTTTCCCCTTTTTTCCCCCTCTATTTTGCATCTCTTATTTTAGCACAAGAGAATGTTAATAAACATTCTGGCAATAGCGATGCAGGAGTGGAGCCATGTTAGCTTCTAACTTAATGCAAAAATATCAGTGTTAACAGCTGCTGCAGCTGGGTAGTGCCAGGTGAGTATCACTGATGGAAGGCCAGGAGATCTGTGAAAAGATGAGTTCCTGAAATATGGCTATGCTGTGAATAAGTGGGGAGAAATGAGTAAAAGTAAGAAGCTAATGTATGTGATCTTAAAACTGTTGTAAGTGCTCTTTTCCTCTCTGGCACTGACAGTTTCATAATTAGTTGGATGGCAGTTAATGATGTCTCCTTGAGCTGCAACCTGCTAGAGCAGAGCACATACACTCTGTGCCATGTGCACTCTGCTGCTGCCTCTTCGTTGTCATCTCTGTGTTGCAGACACGGCTGAAGCCCCACAGCTGATTAACAGTGGTGTATTTTTAGCTGCATCGCTTCTAAGTGTGTAGTTCAGCATTTCTGAAGTGTTTCCTTAGCCAGCTTATGGCCATCTAAAGTTAGATACAGAATTTTACAGACCAAGGGACTGTTGCAGTTTGTGAAACCAGGTAATTTTATCCATTAGAGTCAGGCTTTTAAAGTAGTGAACTGGTGGGCATTTTAACGTTGAATGTATTTTATTCTGATTACTAAACTACCTTCCTTGTTTTTTTAATTTGGAATTCCAGATCCTCTCTTAAGAAGGTGGTCCTCTTACTTGGTCAAAGGCTATAAAATGTGGATATTTCTCTTCTAGCAAGCAAAACTCGTTCTTCATTTCCATGGAGCTGAATGAACAAAGATCTGTCCACTTCTGCTTGAATCATCTCACCAAACATTTGATTCACCAGATGACTTCCCCCACAGAAGTAGCCCACTGTTTTATCAAAACTCAGAAGCAGAGTAACAAAAATCAGCATTTGTTTTCCGGAAAAAATGTCTTCTGTGCCAGCTCTTCATACAGCTTTCTGCATTCTGTTTTAAAATGAAAAATACTTTGTAATCAGATGCAAGTGGAAGCTGGTGTTTTTCACTGGTATTTCCTTCTTAATTTTAGGACAGTTAAATACTTCTCTGTGTCAAATTGGAATGAATTCCTAGCAGATAAAGCGTCTGCATGCATTGCTGTGTCAGACTGACCTGATATATATGACAAGTTGCAGGAGGAAAACCAGAATGTTTTCTGCAAGAAACTTACCAAACAACTAGGGGTATCTCATACAGGTATTTTCTAGTCCAGGTCCCAGGCTTGACTTTGTAGATAGGTGTCAACTCACATAAAGCAGCTAATGCACAAGAACAAATACAGAATCACCTTGTCTATACTGTGTATCCCAAGCTGTGATCAAAATGTATATTTGCATGTGTGAACCTCTGTAAGTGCGGGATATGAAGAGCTTTCACCTGAAGAAGAAATTACTCTGCATCATTTCATTTTTAGCAAAGAAAAAGGAAGCTTTGAAGGCCTCTGGGGTAACATCATAGTGACTAGGTTTGCATTTAATCATTACCTTCCTCAGGCTTTTAATGAATCCTTAGCATCAAAAGGAACAAGACCATTCTACAGGAGAAGAGATGGGCAGAACATCTTTCTTTATTATAGAAATTAACTTTTGATGGGATGGAAGAGACCAGAGCTGTAAAGTTGCAGTTTATCTACCTGGCTTCCTCGACACAACTTCAGCTTTTCCTACTGCTGATGAAATCTTGTTTTTTGATTCTTTCATGACTGAGAGGACCTTTATGTTTCCTCCATCTAGGTAGAAATAGGCCCAGGAAAATGGAATGTTAGCCACGTAAGAGGGGTGAGTTGAGAGCAGAAATACTTAGTACAGTCCTTTTTCTGGCTCTTCTTATTCCTTCCTAAACTAAGGCACAATCTGGTTGTTCTCATGTTTACACAAGATTCTTTGTCTATGTAATTTGTGATTATATAGGATATTTTCTGTCATTCTGAAATGGGAGCATATATTGTTTACATGCTCCCTGCTATGGGATTATCTATAACAAGTAAGATTTTTTTCAAAAACCTACCAGAACTGGGATATGTATTATATTCCACCTCAAATCTGAAACTCTTTAGTGCACCTTATTCCAAGCTTGTGATTTAGAAATGTGGCTTGCTAGCTTAAAGTACGGGAGATACTAAAATGGCTGGGGAAGTGTTCTAGATTTCTTGTTCTGTTTTTCCTTTTAGAAAACTGCTGGAGAGAGCCAGACAGCCTGAAAATGGCTGAAAAAGCAAACAATTGAAATCCTTCTTAAATCTTGGTGATTGATTGCCAGGGCAGCATTCTAGTATCAGAAATGTGGTGACATTTTATGGGGCCAAGTTCCATAGCAGAGTGAGGACAAGCGATGATGTTGATTCTAATCCTCCAAGTAATGTCTGTGTTTAGACTTGTTTTGTAACAGTAGGATTTAGTGACAGCTTCACCCATTTTGTGTTTCCATGAAGCAAAGAGCAGACACGTGGGCAGGACGCAGTGTATCAAAGTAATGCCAACTTTAATGATCAGAGAGGTGCTCTAAAATTGTGTGCAACATTGTGGTGAGCTGTGTGATAAGAACTAACATTGACCCCTTGATGAGGCGACCACCAGCTTGGCCTGACTTTGCTGAATGTGGTCTGAACTTTCTGGCATTGGAGGCAAATAGAAAAGCACACTTTGTTTTAGGGCCTCCTTATGTTGGAGCCAATAGGATTTAATGGAGATGTCTGTAGAAGCAGGATCCATCTCTAAGTGGTGGAAAATACTGTCAATATCATAGGATTACAGTGGTTGGGAAGTATGTGGTATAAGAAATGTCTGATTTAGATCTGGGAATTTTCTTCCTTCTGCCCATACTTACCCTTCTGATGTTAGAGATAGCAGTTGTTTCTTGCATAGCTTGATGACAAAATATTTGGGGGACAGGAAGGTATTTTTTTTTCTGTGGACATGTACAAAAATTGCAAATTTGCCTGATTAGAGAGCTGATAATCTAAGCTCCTTAATATTTTGTAACCTGGCATTATAACAAAAAGTAGAATTACTGATTTTTTTCTTAACTCCTATTCATGACAGTGTAGCAGCATTAGTTTTCGCGTTTAATTTTAGAACATCAGGATTTTATTAGGTTAAGGATCTGTGACTTTCACAGAAATAATACTCCTATGGTGCATGCCCAGAAGACCCCCATTGCTGTACCTTCCTGGCCAGCACCTTTAAAGAGCTGCTGTGTATGGAAATGCTGCTTCATCTGACTCACTTTTCCTTGCTCCGCTTTTTCTTTATGTTGGTTGGAAATCTTCCCATGTGAAAGATTACAAAAACAAGGGGCATGTGCAATAGCTCATATATATATATATATACATATATATATTTTAATACTTGTGGACAAAATGATGTTACAAGTTGTTTGAAAACAACAAAATCACCAATGTCTTCCATTTTGAGATGTGTATAGTTCCATAAGCATTAGTGCTTTGTAGCAAACTGTAGTGCCATGTTAGGACCAGTGCATGAGCCTAGTAGTATTTTTACAATTTCTGAGTGACAAATTTATTAGTAAACAGTGATGATAATGTAATTAACACTAGAAAGGATACAATAGGAATGTCACAAACATGGTCTAAACATGCAGTATCCTCCCTTTGACAATGGCAATGCTATCCTTAGAAATGGAACTCATTCACTTAATGGGCTTCATAGAATCATAGTTGACTTTTTGATATTTGTCTGTCTGTCCAACTACAGTAGTAAGCTAGTGTATGCAAGTATCCATAATTCTCATCCCTATCAGTCTGATTCTTTTCTTTAAATCTTTGTTGGTGTTTTCTTCCATTTTCAATTTTATTGAACCATCTATTACCCATCCTGTGATATACTCAAAAAGTATGAATATGCTAAAGAGTTTGTGTGCATTCTGTACACATCTCTTACCTTCAGATAATTAACAATGTCTGTTAAGTAATCTTGTCTTTTTTTCAGATCTGACTCTATGATTATAGCTAGCAAAACATTATCCTCATTGTGTGATAAGTTAATAGTTGCAAAATGTGATGTGCTAATTATGCGTAGAAGACTTTTCTCCATTATTGCAGGAATGGGGAACCTTTTTTGGCTGAAATCCTATTGAATATTAAAATAACTTTGGTGGATCCTGCATTTACATACATCTTAATAAGAGAGAATGCGTTAAGGTCCAAGGCTGTTGGAAAACGGTGTTGTAGGCTGTATCTCTGCAGCAGGCTGTCTCTAGCCAATGAATCAGAGATTCCCCACCCCTGTATTATTGAGAATTCAGTATCTTGTATTTTAGGTAACATCCAGTTTTGCTTTCCAGCTCTAAGCTCAATTTTAATGATTTCTGTCTCTCCCTCTGCTTTTTTCAGAAGGAAAGTTTAGACCGGGGAAGTAAAATTGGCTTAGCACTCAATGGGCAGCTTAGACTGGTCGAATAGGAGACTGGCATGATTCTTGAGATGTGCATTGCTCTGTGGATGGCATCCTCTGATTTCCTAGGAATAAGTCTTTTATTTGATGCCAGTGCTGCTCTTCACCCATTTCTCTCTTTCAGCTTAGAGAGGATACTGCATCTTTTTTTCCTGAGACCTGCCTGTAAATGGCCATTAGGGGGAGGGAGGGAATGGGTAGCTTGGTTTTGTAATTTTGGTACGATATATCTTTAAAGTAATTAATCAAAAAGCATGTACTTCCGTGCAATGACAGTAATCCAGGCAGAGTTAATGTATGTAACAGGGAAAAAAAAACCCCAACAAAACCAACCAAACAACCCTCTGCATCTAACAAATTTCTGAGAAAATTGGACAGGTGGGCCATTTACAGCAGAGCTCTGGGGGACCTGTGCTAAGAGTCAGGTTCAGTTCTAAATGGACGTAGCTGTACCATTGAATAAAGTAGTTTAGTGCTTGGGAGAATCAATTGAAAAATACCTCTGAAACTGGAATGCAAAATAGCACAGTATGTAGGGGGAAGAATCCCTGATGCAAACAAAGCCATAAGATGATTTAATAAGAAAATAGAACTTTAGTAGCAATAACTGTTTTGCATGTGATAGTAAATAACTTGCATTAGCAAGACTGTACAGTAGAGTAAGTGGGTAATAACCAAATAAGTTTGTGGCGCTCTGTGCTGCAGGGAGTTGTGTGAAGAGTCTTCCTGAGAAGAAGGGTGAATTCTTCTTATGTTCCTCTCATTGGAGGGAATTTGGCACTTGAATACTAAGTTAATGAACGTGATATATATATTAAAAAAAGAAAAATTAGCTTTGCCACATGTCTGAAGCACTGTCAGTGAGTGCTGGGGGAAGGGCCGACAGTTCTCTTTGGAAGGATAGCTGAAGTTTCCCTGTAATTTTTTTCTTTCTCTGTAGCCTAGCACTTGCTCTATTTCTCTGAGAAATGAAACTTTTCCAAGTACTGTACTGTGAAGAGAACCTGATTCTAAAGTTAGAAGCTTTTGTGGTGGGAAGTACTTTTTATTTTCTTCGTTTATAAAGACCAATCTGAGGTAGTCTTTAAATAAAAAAAAAACACAAAACAAAACATTAGAGAGCACTTGACACTCAAAACATTTGTGCATGCCAAGCACAACTGTAGAATTCTAAAGATGTTACAGCAGAAAATAATTTCAGCTTTGCTAAACACTGCTTCAGACCATAATTGATTTCAGCTGATGCCTGAAGTTTTGCAGAGGAAAGTACTGTGAAGCCTCTGGTAACACAAAAGGTTATTGATCTTCACCTGTAGATCTGCATCCAGAAAATTACTTGCTATCAAAGGGTTGCATAAAAGAGCCACAGGAGTTCTAAACTGTTCCTAGTTGACACTTTTTAGTGTAGATGCCTCATCTATGGACACAGTGTGGCCCAACATACAGTAGTGTATTCTGAACAGAATTAGGTTTAGATCAATCTGACTGCATTTCTTCTGGAAAGCTGAAGTAATTTAGACTGTAAGCTTCCAGCTTAGTGGAAGCTTCTTGTGTTTTTAAAGCATGGGGGTGAAGCACTTTGGCTCTTCATCAATTGACAATGGAACTGTGAGGGCTGTGAGCATTTTTGCAGTATAAAGTAACAGGATAAGCATGAGAATGTCTAAATTAAGTGTTGGCTAATGTGTAATAAGCTTATGAAAAGTAATTGATCTGAAAGATTGTAATCAACTTAAATTCCAACTATTGATTTTTTGATAAAATTGGAAGCTGGCCATAGGGGACCTTCATTTGATTGCTCTCTGATTACATTAGAGAAATTACGTGGTCTGTGATCAGCAAGTACATTTACATAATAATGAAATTATAATTGTAACAAAGTCACATTCATACTTCTGAAGTATGAGCTTTGTGGCTGAACAGAATTCTTCGAGGGTATATCCACTCAGAACAGGGGGGAGGAAATAAAGACTGATGTAGCCAGGCAAGCTATCTACATACACTTCCCAGTTCAGGCTTTTAATAATGATTTGAATTCTGTGGGCTGCTAGACTAGGCATTACTATTCACACCAACAAAAGGAGTCCCTTTGGCTTTCAGCTCTTGTACTATGGCATGACTTTTGCTTCAACCTTGATTTAACAGCTTCTAAACCTAAGTGGAAGTGTCAGGTTCTACCACTCTTGGGTTGTGGTATATCAAAAGGTATAATGATCAGTATGGACATGCCTCCTTTAGCAGTACTAAACCCAGATGATACAAATATATTCTGTTTGTATATCCAGTAGTGCTGCTGCAGAAGGTCTAGCCAGTACTTGTGTTGGGAACCTTCTTATACCTTCTGAAACTGAGGGTATTTGTCAAATTTATGAGAAAAAAGGAAGTCTTGCAAAGACTTCTTGATAGCAAGTGGGAAAAAATTGTACTGAGCTTGAGGATACTGACACTTTACATGAGGATTACAATGTCAAGAACTGGCAGTCTGGTTTTTTGTGGGGGGCAGAAAAGGAAAAAATGCTGAAGGTAGAACTATTTTAGATGTATAATGAATCTTAGAAATTACTGCTTCTTGCATCCTTAGGAAACTGGCTGGTCTTCCTCCAAAACTAATAATCCTGCTTGCTGATCAGGTACAGAGCTGCAGAATGACAGTTCAAGTTAGATTCCACTGGATTTCTTTCATGGAATGATCCAACATTTTGTCCCTGTAGCACTTTGACTGGCATACAAAAGCCAACAGTTGAATCAGGGTGTCTTGTTCAACAGTGCAGACACTAACCATGGATTCTGAAGTCTGTTCCCTTTCAGTCTCTACACTTCCTCCTGCGTTTTAGAGAAAGTGTCAGTATTCATGATGTCAGCAGAGTGTGTTTCTGTCTCTGAGCCTATGTACCAGGTTATAATATAGATAAACTCCCAAGACTTTTACCCCATCTAAAGTTAAAGATAGAAGTAACTTTCTGTTCAGTGTGTCCTATGTAAATCCTGTCTGCTTCTCTCCACTTCCCCTCCAAATGAGTGTGTTTGCAGGTCGAATGAAAGGCAGGTAGTTTGTAATGCCTTAGGCATGAAGAACTGCATGGAGAAACTGAAGGAAAGCGGCACAGGCCCACAAACAAATCTTAGAGCTAGTGTTCTAATTATGCATGATTCAAAATGTCTAGTGTAGTGTAGTTATTACCAGTAAACTGAGATATGCATTTATACATAATGAAGCAATAGGAATTAATATACCAATAGCTTGAACTTCCTGCTTTGATTCTCAAATTTTGGGTTTTTTTTAGAGAATGTGCTGCCTCTGTAGGGAAGGGGGCAGAATGTATAGATAGGGACAGAAGCATGGCACCAAAAGTGTAAATCAGGAACCGGGATCAGCAGAACTCACCTCTGTAACCTCTAGTCTGGTTCATCTCACTGTCCTGAGCATGTAGAAAGCAGGGCATGAACTAAGCATGTTTAGAGGCGAGATGAGGTTTCTCACCTGCTGCAGCTGTAGCAAGGAAAAGGGTGCAGAGTTTCTTACATGGTGCAGGGGAGCTACTGGTGGGAAGGAAAAAAGCCAAACCCACAAAAAAATCACCCCAAAACCCAAGGCGACAAACGAGTAACAGAAACCACAGACTCAAATTGAGTGTAGTATTTGCCAGACAGCAGTAAGTAATAGCTTGAGTGTGGTGAGAGAAATTATTTGGAGAATACTGAAATTAATAAGCACAGTAGATATTTTTCAGGTGTTGAATAGCTTTTTAAGAGACAGTATTTTCAGGTAACTCTAGCCACATAGGCAGCTGTACTGAAGCATACTGGTACCAGCCAGCAATAATGGCATCTGCAGGAATGAACCTGAAAATACTGGTAATCTTGTATATTTTTTGAGTTCTTTAAAGAGATTTTTAAAAACAGAAAATTAGATTTGGTCACTGAAGGTCTTTATCTTCTGCAACAGAGGTTGCAATTGTCTTTTTTTCCTTATTTCGCTTACTAGATAAAAGGGAATTTGGGTGCCATCTTTCTGTAAACTCTTAGTGTGTTCTCTGTAATTCAAGTCTCTTAGTGGATAATGCAATTTCTGCGGTTTTAAAATAAGAGAATGTGTGGTATAGCCTACATCACTAATACTTTTCCAAGTTTAAACTTGTAATTAAATATGTAGAATACTGGCTTGTAATTGCAGAGTTCCATTCTTGTAGCTTAGCTTAATTTTGTAAGTGGGCTTAACTTGTGCAGAACACTTCTCCATGTACAGAGGCTCAGTCCTCTCTCTTAAGTAGAAAGTGTCTTGGAGGAAAAAAAGGTGTGTCAAGTTAACTCCTGTTCATACTTCATAGCCAACCATTCATAAAGCACTGTGTTTTGGGTATGGAATGGGAATTGTGGTTTTACCCATGAATGCTCTTTTTAAATATGTAAGGATTGCCAAATGAAGATACAAATTTTATAAAAGAAGATAACTATTACATGGTATCACAAGTTAGACTGAATGAAAGTCTTTGAGCCAACTCCTTCAAGAAACAAGAAAATTTCTAACACAAAGTTAGCCCAGTGGTTAACCATGGTCATTCATAATTCTTTAGAACACTATGCATGGTTTTAAAGTCTGTTAAATATTGTGATGAGTAAGCCATTGTATCCTTTGTATTTCCCTTCAGTATAACCTGGGGAATAAGCTACTTCAGGATATCAGTGAAGTTATTTTCCTTTTGAAAAACATAACAGCAAAGGAGAAGTATTAGGTGTAAATTCCTAAAAATTACCTTAGTACTTAATAGGCTAAAGAATACTTATATTGAATTTCTGATAGCATTCTTGCATGGATTAGTGGAGGAAATTATTGGTGTGACTACAAACTATGTACTCCCATTGCACATGTTTTACATGGTAACAGTGAAAGAATGTCTCCCTGCAAATTCTGATTTTTTCCAAAAGGCAGCTTGCTTTTATATCTATGCATCTTTGAGGATTTCAAGATAAGATTTTATTCTTTTGACACTGTAAAGAGGAACTGTTTAAAAATGAACCTGGAAACTCTGCACCTGTATACAAACTTTTTTAGCAATAAAGCAGCACAGGCTGAGAATGCACTAAAACTGGATGTGTCATCTGTTCAGAAGACAAATTAACCAAATTACTGTACATTCCACTCCACTTCTGAGGTGTACTTGCTGTAGCTCTGTCAAAACTTAACAACTTGAGCTGAATTCTTACATGCTGGATATCTGCTTTGGGGCCAGCTGTCCCAGCAGACTTCTGACTTAAATAGCAGCTAAACAAAAATTGTTATTCCACTTCAGTCCCTTTAAGGGTTATTTTAGAGGGTAGCAGAAATTCTGCTTCTTTTATTGATTGCTTAAAAGTAACAAGGCCCCTCAGAAGACTGTTTTATGGATGTATTGTTTATTGTTTTGGGGACTACACTTCAAAAAATTTCTTCTGTGGTTGATGGAGGTCTTCCCAGTTTCAAAGATTACAGAAATGCAGTTTAAAATTTACCAGCTATTCTTCAGCACATACTTATTTTTATTTAAATCCATGATAGGTAATATAATTTGTGGAACCAATACTTTAATGCTTTATAACAAATGAGGACCCAAGTGAGATAAAGTGATGGGTTTTTTCTGCAAAATAATCAAAGGAAAAGAAGTAGGCTTAGTACTCACATAATATTGGCAGTGATTCGGACTATATGAATTTCTGAGTTTCAGCTTTTATTTAAGAAGTTCCTTCTTCACAACTTTAAATATAGTACAAACATGTAACTGACAGTTTTTAGGGATCAGCACTAATGAAGCAAAACAATTTAGCATTATTCATAATACAGACATAAAATAGCAAGAACCAGTCTCAATGCAGAAACTAGAATGAAAGGGCAAAAGCAAACAGTCCCATTATCAATCACATTTCTTATACTCATCCAACAACAACACAAGCACTAAGGAAGTATTACAAAGGTGGTACCAGAGTTTGTGAGAGTCCCTGCTCTCCTTGCAGAACTACTGTTGATACTCCATGGTTTTGCTTACGACAATCAACTGAGTCCATAAGAACTCCCAAACAGAAAGCAGCACAGTGAGCATTAGTAGTAGCCTAAGTGCCAGTTGCCCACCTAAAACCTCTGAGGTGCCTTACAGTGAGTTTTGTACCCTCTGCTCCAAGCAGTTATTTTACAAATAACACAAAACACAGAACTGGCAGCAGCAGCAACGAGGTCTGCAACCTGCTGGTCATATACATGTTAGGAGAATGCAATTTGCATCACTGGAATTAAGTTGATCAAGAAAATAGAATTCTCTCTAGACTACTACAGACAACTGCTAAACTTTCCATAAAATTCACTATTCCTTTGGAGAAAAAATTAGCCCTTTAGGCAGGGAAGGGGAGAGGAAAAGGGACCTTAATCTTCCAAAAAACAAGAAGAAGGGATATTCTGTCCCAGTAACAAAGGGTAAGTAGTGCTTTCTTATCTGTAAAATTATTTTCTAAATATTTGGAAATAAGCAGAACCAATTTTCAACAGAGAGATGCCAATGAGCCACGAGTAGGTATTTTTTATGAAACATCCTAACTGGCCACTTGAAGGCAACAGGCAGTCCTAACTTCAGGCAGTGCTTCCAGGATTGTGCAGAAGGCTGTTCCTTGGTTTCATAGTTAACATTCCAGAAAGGAACCCTCAAATCTGTTCAAGGCAGTTGCTCACAGCCTTAGCTGGCAAAATTTGACTCAGTCCTGTTCCTGGGGCTGCACTTCAGCAGACTTGGCAGGCACATGGGTTGCCCTTTACCTGAAATTCAATACCTTGTGTTCTGCCTCCGTGGTGCCGTCCTGACTTATGCTCTAAGAATATTGCAGCATCTGTGACGTGCTTGTCTGCTGCTTTTGCAGGCAACACACACAAGCAAGTCTCAAAACTCTTCAGGAGTCCATATAGCAGTGGCTCACCCATCAGATGTAGCTAATGAGCCACTTGACCAAAATCTAGCTGCCATTAACAAGGCTGCCATTAACAATGGGTCTGTATTGAAATACAGGACAAGAGCTTTAGGTTTTTAACAATGTTCAGTTTGTAATGGTGGCTCTTCAATAGCATCACCTTGTTAAATATGTTTTGCATAGCTCCAGAAACCTGACTTCAGTATTTCAAAGGCTGGTTTTCCCCCTGAAGTCCTTAGAAAAACCAAAGTCAGATTTACACAGCCTCAGAGAGTAACATGCTGCATGGGTGAGCTATTCAGTCTCCCAAGCATAACTTTAGTATGTCAGACTCTCAGGTATTCCTGAAGGGATGCACTTCATCATCAGTTCTTTCCACACACAGATGAAGTGACAGATCAATACTCAGACCTGGTCTGGTGCATTATTTCTTTGTAATGACCAAACTCAGCAGAGATGGAGAAACAACTCCAGCAGTTCTTGAAAATGGGTATTAGTTGGTATTAACTCCTGCATATCCTGGTAGTAGGTCATCTGGATCTGTTGAAGAGTTTTGCCATTCTGTTACATAATTATTTTGTTGCATAATTATTTTATCCAGCTTCCTTGTCAATAATTCTACACGAGTACTTAACTCCACAAGCTTTTCTTTCATCTAGGAGAAAAGAGAAGAGTATTAAAATCAGCAAAAAAAGTCCTAACACTGGATCTTTCAATAACCTGCACCCCACTTAAAATGGCTAAAGAGCAGCTCACTTTCAAGGTGGGAAAATATAGAGGAGCTCGATCTCTATACTGCATGTTTAGTACTGACAAAAACAGCACCCAGATCAGAAGGCTGCACTAAAAACTGGAGATGGATCAATGTGTACCAGAATCAGCCCTTCCAGGAACATAGTGGAAGATGAAGATGGAGTTGTTGCAGTTTTACTATGATGAACCTGATCTTTCCTACTTAACTCAAGTTTTCACACAGACAGAGACTTTCTTTGACAGTATGTGGACAAACTGTTTCATCATTAGCTTAGGAATACATGTGGACATTATGTCTCAAAAAGCAAAGGCCAGATGCTTGAGCTTGTTCTAGTCAACAAGGGAACTCTCTACAGTCACGTAACTTGTGTTTGCAATGAAGTGCTGTCATATTTTTACTTCAGCATGTATTATTACTAAATCATGTCTCAACTTCAGAAGTTTTATCTAGATAAGATTTTTTTATCTTAGCCTCACTTGACCTGTGAAAACACTCTGATCTTATAGAAACTGGAAGATGACTTGGAAGAGGACAAAACTTAGAAATGTAAAAGGCCCATTACAAGAGAAACTAAAACCTAAACTCAACCCCCCAAAAAGTAATGAACAAATTATCACATAAATACTGGATATTCTGGCTGTCTCCAACACACAATAACTTTATTTGATCTAAGGCACAGGCAATTAACTAACATAACCACTAGTCAGGTTACAGATAAGAACATCCACTTTGAACACCAAAACAGGAGGGAGGTCCTAGAATTCTCTCTGAAACTACAAATACTGCCATGGTGTTTTGATCTTACACAGACATAAAAATATGACTTTAAAAATCCCTTCCAAAAAAAAAAAATCTATTTTTAAATTCTTCAACAATGACAACACAAGTCATAATACTTAGGCCAAGTCTGCATAAATGACTTTAGGGTTTTTTTTCTTTGCAAGGTATAGAGATAAAAAGATAACAAACTTTTGCCAAAATTTAGCTAGAATTTGGTATGTTCTGCACTTTAGAGTTCTTAGAAAATGTTTCACGTCTCATGCATTGAGTCAGCTATTGTCAAATAAGGCAGCATTTTCTCAATCTTAGGCACTAAAAACCCCCACATTTGTGTCAATGGTTTTGAATTAATGTCCAAAATTACCAGCATTTTAAAAGTATTTTCTTACATTCTGCATGCGTTTCTTTAAGGTCACTGCTGGAAAATTCACCTTAGAAGCTTCCATAATCATTTGATTTTTTAAGAAGTAACTGGAAAACAAAAGGGGAAAGAAAAAAAACCACAAGAAAAACAGTTAAAAACCTATAGTTGCACTATTTAGACAGATGATTTAAGATGGTTTTAAAGCAGATACAAATTTGCTGCCAAAAGCAGTAATTATGAAAATACTCAAAACACAACAATGGTTTTATTTTGGAATCAAGATCCTCTCATCACCTGCTGTAAGTAATTTACAGCTGCTATAGTCAAGTCCTCAACCTATCATGGAATCACTTTGATACCTTAGGTTAGCTAAATGAATCTGGAACTGAAGAGATTTCAGCATTGCACACAAGTAAATATGAAATCTTACATTACACAAGGACACTCAAGAGGTGTAAGGCAAATCAAAGGGATTCACATCAACACAGTTTAGACATCAAGAATATTAAAATCCTACACCAGTGTGCTCAGACAAAAGTCAAACCACTTTTGTTAGCTGTGGGCCAGTTGTACAGTAACTTAGTGAAGTAACCTGTGAAGTCACTGACCATAAGAATGCAGTGTACTCACCACATGATGCTGTCCTTGAAGAAACAGAACAAGTCCCGAAGATGTGCCAGCTCACTGCCAGAAGAATAAAGAATGAAGCCCACGGCCAAGCCACAGGACCGACAGAATAATAAATAATAAGCACTAAAAGGAGAAAGGGAAATGTTTTTAAAAAGAAGCTTTTGAAACCACAGATGCTGTATATTTGTCAGAGGACATCAAATCTTCAGTTCCCTTGGGGCAAAATCCAAGGCATAATAATGCCTCCTCCTCAAAAAAGTAATATGTACAAAACCAACATGACCATAAGAAACTGGGCATGTTGTGAAAGAAGTAATCTATCTAATAAGTGAAGTTGCTATTAAGGAAGAAAATGCACATCTTATTATCACAGAACGGTTTAGAGTATTCTACTCAACATGATTTAAGTAATAAAGCAATGCATGTGCTAGTTGTAAATTCTTTCTAATGAAATAGATTCTTACTCCATGCAGAGGGAGGGGTAAGGAAAAGTAAAAAAAAGAGCAAGTCTTATATTGAAAAAGTTCCCAGTCCTGACAGTTTGTAAAATAGCCTTTAAAAATCATTTAAACAAGCTATTGGTTCTGTAAGCCCCTAGATGACATTTCACTTTCTTCCCGTTAGACTGAGTTACCAAACCTTGCAAGAATAAGGCAGCGCAAGTTTTTTATTTTCAGTATTAAGAAAAACCAACCAGCCAATAGCCACCCCTCCCCCCAAGACCAAACCAACCAAAACCCCACCAAACCAAACAAAACGCAGAGATGTTTTAAGTAAGAGACCTTTTAGGGAAGGGAACAAAGGGACCTACAAGTTAAGCTGTCTTCTACTGCTTTGCTCGAATGTTTCTCTCTACCTACAGAGGTTATAGCAGCAAAACTCTTGGATTTCAAGTGAAAACTACATCCCTACAAAAGGTTTCTCCATCCGAAGTGTGGAACAGGCACAGAAGTCACTTGGGAGTTTGCCGAGCCCCTCAGAGCCCCCGCGCACAAGCCGGAGGAGCTCCCGGCCGTGCCGGAGCCCGGCTTTGCCCGCACGATTTACCGCGGCTGCCGCTCAGGGCAGGCCCGGGGCCGGAACTACGGGAGTACGCACCTTCCCAGGAGGGCTCCCTCCAGGCCGACCAGCAACGAGTCCTCCCAGGTCACATCGCTGGTGACTTCTGAGGAGAAAGAGAGAGACGCGCTGCAGCCGAGAGCCCCCGGACCAGCCCCCGCCCGGTCTCCGCTGCCCGCCCGACGCCCGCGCAGGGCAGCGGCGCGCCCGCAACACCCGCCGGCCCGACGAGGCACTGACTGAAGCAGATGAGGACGCGAAGCCCCGGCGGCTCCTGCCCACACAGCTGCAGCGAGTCCCCCAGCACCGTCCAGCAGCCACGGCAGTGGAACACGGCGCACTCCTCCGGCAGCGGACCCTGCCGCCGCGGCGGCGATGCCGGCACCGCGGCCGGCGGCAAGGAAGGCGACGGCGGCAGGGGCAACAGGGGCGGCGACGGCGGCGGCGGCGGCGGGGGCGGGGATGGCGGCGGCGAGGATGGCGGCGGCGAGGCCCAAGCGGCAGCGGCCGGGGGGGGCGCCCGCTCCAGCACGATGGCCCCGATGGGCTGCGGGTCCTGGAACAGCTGTCGCAGCTGCTGCCGCACCGCCATCTCCTCCCGCCAAGCGTTCGGGGCGCGGGGCCCGCCCCCCGAGTATCGCGATTGGAGGGTGGTTCGCAAATCTGCATTGCCACTGGTCAGTAGGCGTGTCAATCCTGGCCGCCCGCGGCTATTGGGCAGCGGGCCTCACCGCGCGCGGCTTTCTCTACCAGGAACGTCTCATGGCGCTTGAAAATAAGCAGGCGCGGCGGACCGCGCCGCCATTGGCGGCTCCCGCGCTCCGCCCCCTCTAGCCACGCCCCTTCTCTGGCCCAGCCAATGGGCTGGCGCAGCGGGCCAGTTCGAACGGCGGGGGCGGTGCGAGTGGTGTCGGTTGGCGCGGGCGGGCAGGGCCGCTCGGTTGGAGCTGTTGTCATGGCGCTCTCTTCGCTGCAGCCCCTGGAGGCACTGAAATACGCCGAGCTCCAGCGCATCGCCAAGGCCGCCGGGCTGAGGGCCAACCTTCGGGTGAGGCGGGGGCGGCTGCGAGGGAGCGCTGCCCACGAAGCTCCGGGTTCCGGGGTGCCCCGTAGCGAGAACGCGTCCCCAGCCTCCAGGGCGCACCCTCCCGGGTCTGGAGCGCCGCGGGGTGCGGCGGTGGCTTCGTCCTGGGGCGCCCGGGGGCTGCGCTGCCGTCCGCAGCGGGCACGCACTTGGGGAGGGGGAGAGCGGGGCTCCGGTGTCCGCCGGGCATGGAGAAGGGGCGGCTGCCCCGCCTCTGCTGGCCCGGCTGCTCCCCACTCCGGTGTCCCCGTGCGGGTAGCTGTGTTTGTGTGTTTGGCTTTGTTTGTTTTGGTTTTTTTTTTCTAACGACTCGGAGAGGGAGGAGCAGTGACAAGAGAGCACCTTACGGGAGGAGAGGGCCGTCGCGGTTAAGGGCGAGAAGCCAAAGGGCGCCCCAGGGTCCTGCCTGGAGCTGCGGGCGCTGTGAGGCGCGACCCGGCTCCGCCCGCAGTGATGGCACAACTCGTAGAGCCTTAAAGGAAAGATCTTGGGTGGACAAGGCAGTTCCCTGTCCTCAAAGGACTCAGAGCTTTTCTGGAAATATTAGTTTTGGGGTACTTTCTTTGATTTTGTGCTGACCTGTCTACTTAGGTGTTTAAGAGTCTTTCATAGCTTGAATTATCAATGGTGTATTTTCATCGTTGTTTTATTACTGTTACTGTTGAACGTATGCGAGGGATGAAAAGAATGCTTTGCCTGTAGCATGGGCAAGGCAGAAGCAATTGCAGAAATTTGACACAATTTTAATTCAAGTTCAGCTGCACTGTGGGGCTTAAAACAGTTTGTCTCCTTCCTTGAACAATTAACCTCCTCTACAATAGAGCAGGGGAAACCTAGTCAAGGAGATTTGCCCTTGTGCCTCCGTGGAGAATATGCTGCAGATTTATCTGCGGCCTTAGGCACTTTGTCTCATTGACTGACTCGAGCGAGTCCTTGGTGTGCCTTATGCTGCTGGATTCGGGAAATGTTCTGCTCGCTCAGTTTGTAGGATGTGGGTTGGGCCTGGGCAGCTCTTCAGTGACTGAATGGCCTGTTTGGTTCATGGGTTGTTTTGTTTTCTCTTCAGGCAGACAAATTGTTGGAATCATTGAAGCAACACTTTGAAAGGACAAATGAAGAAAGTGAAAATATGGTAACATAATAAATCAGACCTTGCTTTTAAGAAATGTGAACCTTAATTTGTAACCCATAGAGCAGAGCGTGTCCTGAAGAGTGATTTTGACCACAATGGGAACTGTAATAGAAATACCTTTTTCTTCTTAGTGCCCTTAGTTTTAAGTACTTATGTGCTGATAGAAATAGATATGCTAATGTTAGTTTTGAAGCGGCCTCTATGACTGAAAGCTGATTTCCTTTCAGCTGCCAAAATTACCAATGCATTTTTCAGCATCAGTACAAACCTATTCTCTGTGAACAATGACATTTAATATCCACTGAACAAACCTTAATTCTTGCTTGTTTGGCTCCAGACACTATTCAGTAGTAAATACAAAAATACTTTATTTATTTTGCATGCCTAAATGAGGAGGACTAGGTACTAATTGGAAAGCATTTTGCATCTACGACAGTTTACTTTCCCTATAATGAAAGCAATATGGTTGTGCTGCTTCCTTTATTTGCCTCTTAGTGTTTTGTTTTCTTAATTTTTAAAAAGTTTTCTGTAAGCTGAATTGTTTTGTTGAGTGTGCAATGTTTTTGATTAAAGTAATTTGTTATGTCCTTTTTCTAAAATACATCTCCCTTTAAGTGCATCCCTTAAAAATCTTTAAAGACTTGAGGAACTGGTATAAACTTTGTCAGCTTTTTAAAAAATTTCATGAGCAGGAAAGGAGCCCTGTTTTTACTGGTGAAGAGTATTCCACAAATGTACAAATATGGGAGGATCATGACATCATGCAAGTTAGATTTCAAAAATAAAATATTAGATTGTTATAATTTATTAAAATGAAATGTGATAAACCAGTCATCGGAATTGTATTTAAAGTCTCCAAACAATGAGCTTTGATGCTTAAGGGAATCTAGATTGTGCCAGTTTTTTGATTACTATGCTGCTATGTGGCATGCTACTGTTTATCCTTAGTATAAAATACTTTTTTAGATAATAAAATTGTAACTGTCCCTGGTGTATTTTGTTCATATTTGTATCAGATATCTTCCAGTTATAGTATTTTTCTGCTACAGGGTTCTGTAAAGAGTGCATGTGCTTCCATTAAATCGGATGAACTGAGCAATCAGGAGGAAATGTCTGATTCAGTGTGTTTCATTACAAAAATACCTGGTCAGGATAAGAAAATAACCAGAAAAAAGAGGAACTCCCATGAGGAAACTAACAGCAGTGAAGAAAACCCAGTGCTTTCTGATGAGAAACAGGTGATTTGCTTGGCCTGCTTTTGTGTGCTGTCCTCCCTTCCTCTGAGCATAATTTAAGCACACTTGATTTCTTTTCAGTCACCATTTATAGGTGGTATGTGTTCATATATGTGTGTGTGTTTTGACATGTAGAGAAATTGATATGCAAGCATTCTGGTACTGGTCTTTTGTATTTTGTAGCACTGGATTTTGTCCCTTTATACTGTCCCATAATAAACAGACATTACTTCTAGTCACTGCTTCAAGACAATAAATTCCTCTAAGAAATATACAATTCCGAACATTTTATCTGAGTGTAAGGCTGCTAGTTCATTGTAATATTCTGAATCTTAGGCTAGCTTCAGAATTTATCTAAAATAATGCTGTTCTCTCTTTTTTGGTACAGAAAAAATTATCAGAAGTTACACAATTGACTAAATATAATATTTTTTTTATTGTGAGGGGTTGTGTGACTTAGGAAGAGCAAGTTACAGGTGAGATGAAGGTTGAATTTTTTTGAGTTACAAGGAGTAGGTAAATTAAGAACTGTCTGAAAGACTTTTACTGAGGTAGAGGAGGGGAATGAGAAAATGAGGAGTATTAGTCTTTTAGTATTAGAGAATTGTACAGTATGCAAAAATACAGCAGTAAAAAGTACCATCCCCAGTGAATTTAATCTTACTTACAAATCATTAATTTTAATCCATAAAGGCAATTTTATACTAAAATGTGAGAGCTATGCAGGTCAAAGCTTTCTAATATATCTTAAGTGTGTGAAGTAACAGGGTATTTCACAGGTTAACTCAGTTTGGTCTTCAGAAAATCTCTTGCTCAATCTCTCAGTCAAAGAAGACTCAGCTGTGAGGTTAGAGCCCAGTGCTTTAGGCTTTATCCAATCTGATGCTGAAAACCCTTGAGGATGAAGGCTGTGCACCTCTCTGAGCCATCTCTTCCACTGGCTCACTGCTCTCAGAACAACAGCCTTGCTTTATATCCAGCTGGAACAAACTGGTTAAACAAGGTATGTTTAAATTGCAGGCGCATTCTGAAATGAAAGAAAATGAAGTGCCTCAGGGGGAGCACAAAAAGGGACAGAAGATATCACAAAACAGAATCCAAATAACTGAAGAGAGAGCTATTGAGAATCCAGGGATGGGTGCTGGGCAGAAGAAACAGGCAGGGAAGGCTTCTGCTAAAGGCAGGGGAGGACAACGTAAGTAGAAAATTGGATAAAAGTAACTTCAATTTGTGCTGCTCAGAATAACCAAAAGATAATTTTATTGTGTCTTCATAGCGTTGTTGTGGTGCATCTGCTGATCAGTAACTTGTTTTGGGGCTACCAGAAGAAAATTGGTCTGGTTTGAGTTTGTGTTACTTGTTTAACATGGTAACACAAATCCACAGATTCTGCAGTGTAGGAATTTTGCTGGCTTTGACTTCAGAACTCTTGTTTTAGTGAAGGAGTCTTCAGAGAGATGAGTGTATTTGAGTTTTATACTTCCAAAAGGATCAATGCCTTTTGGAATACCCTTGAGGTGTTGTTTGGCCTCTAGGAGGTGGCAAGAAAGAGAGGACTTTGCTTCGTTATGGTCCTTTTAGCTTTTTCTACAGATGAACAGTTTTATCTTTTGCTTTCCAGGAGTAAAATCAGCAGAAAACATAGAATCCTTTACCATTTGTTTGAACTACCTAAGAGTATCTGAATGTATTCTACTGGATCGCTTTTTCATCTGGTGATGTCTTTAGTCCTTCAAACATGATGCCACTGAAAATATTAATTAATTTATCCCCCACTGCTTTGTGTATGCAGCTGACATGAAGAAATTAGTTTGTCCACCTAATCTGATAATTTCTTGATATTGAGGGATCTGTCAAGTAAGATACACTTCTGCATTTGCTCTGTTAGGCTCAGTGTATGTAGTCTGTAAGTTTATTATGGATATTCTTCTTGTTCCATAGAATTTACAAGGACAGTCTTATGGGAGACCACCAATAATTTTGAACTAGCTCAGAAATGGGGTTTTTCTATGAACTAAAATGATTTTCTTTGTTTTTAAAAACAAAAGCAATAGGGTATGAGGGGACATCACTCATCTTGACAGTTGGTAGAGTGCTCATCTCTTCCTATAGCTGTAGCAACAAGTCTGCATTTAATATCAAATTGATTTTTTTAACTGCACGCCATTATTTGTTTCCAATAAGGACTTCTTTCAATATATTGTAGTCATCTAAGCTTAATTTTGAGGGGATGTGAATGACCAGAAATACAAGTGTTTGCTGTTGTTATGCAAAAGCTGAACTTGATGTTAAGTTGCTATCTGATTTTTTTTTTCTTAAGAAAATTAATCATTAAAATGTGAACGTGAGTGTATTACTACACCTGAAAACACAGATGACAAAAATAGCTTGGACTTTGTATATAAATAAGGCAGTGGCAGAAAAGTTGGTCAAAAGGTATTTCTTCTTTAGTATCAACATTTAAAAAACACAGACCAAGGCCTGTGAGTTTAAAGTTTTTGTTTACTGCAAGCACAGGTCTCTTGTAAACTTTCCCTGAAAAATATTTTACTATCATAAGATACTAACCTAATATGACCTGCTTTGAAGAGATAAAGTGCGTTTTGAAACAAACATTGGAACAATATTTAAAACCACTGTGATTACTTTAAATCATCCAGGAATCATAATGATTTTGTCTAATCTTGCTGTACCAGGTAATGCTCATCCTGCAGGAGGGAAGATCCCTTTACATGTAGGCCGCGCACCCAGGTCTGCAGGAGGGACAGCCACCACACCAAGTAAGATAACCTGCCATCTCTAGGAAGAGATGTGTTTTCTCTGTGTAAAGAGAGACTTGACTTAGTTTTTTAGAACTCAGATTTCTAGTTGTGCTCAAATGAAAGAATATTCTCTCTTTAAAAAGCAAGAAAAAAGAATTCCCAAATGTTACATATCAAGGTACATATTCCAGCTTGTAAATTCATAGTAGTAAAAGACTGGCATGTATGTTAAAAAACTGGTTTATTGAACATTTTGGTACTTTTCCATACAAAACTTGTATTAATGATTTTGAAAGAACAGGAACACATACATGCTATTATTCCTGCTTGTTTAGCTTTCACTTTATAAATACTATGGTTGTGCTGTACTACTACACATTAGCTCATGTTCATCACTTCTTAAAATGTGTTAAATCGTCTCAAATGTAGATGTATTTGTTTTCTTTAACTGCAGAATTTGGGTGTTGGGTTGGATGATCTTTAAAGGCCCCTTCCAACCCAGACCATGATTCTATAATCCTCCAGGCTACCAGGTAATGGGCCATGTAGCTGGTGAAAGATTCTTTTGGTCCTCTTTGGTCAGCTGTGTCTACAGCCTTTAGTTAGAGGGATGCATTGGCTTCTTTGAGGCCGTGACAATAGGTGTCACAAAATTCTCCTATTATGTACTAAACTCCCTTAGCACCAAATTATATCTGTGAATGTTCTTATTTTTGGAACTTCTTAGACTTCAAAAAGTTGCATGAGGCTCAGTTCAAGAAAATGGAATCTATTGCTGACTACATTGAGAGGAAAAAAAAACTGAATGAAAGTTGCGGCGCAGTCAAGGTAAGAGATAACATGGGAAGATACCCATTGTTGGCATATTCAATTATTTTGAGGGCCTTTCTGTAAAAGTCCTGCCAGGTCTTTTTAGATCAGTAAGTAGCTGGTCATGTGAACCTGCAGTGGAATATCATAACCAATATATATAGTTATTTGTATATAACTTATGTAACAATACAAGGTTTTACATGTTAACAGTGTACAGCTGTAGAAACCAACAACTAACTTGTGGTTTTTGAGTAAAAATAATTGTCACAATTACTTTGGTGAAAGATCTCCTGGATCTTTTGTTTACAACTTTTTTAATTGCTGCAAAATTTAACCAGGGGGATAGGTTATTTTTCAAAGAGCAGGAATTAAATATTTTCTCTTTTGTGCCTGAATTATCATCCCATGGCTGCCTATGATTCTCCTTAAAAATACATTCAATATGTGTTGTTCTCAGTTCTTGTATTTCACCCTCACATGGGTGAAAGCTGCTAACAGACCCTCTCACAAAGTGCAGTAAAGCCTAAAAAAGTGACAGTAATGCAACAATGAATGTGTGAATGAATATGGCAATGGCCATAGAATTGTTCAGGTTGGTTACTCTAGCACTGTCCATATCAAACAGTAACAATGAATGAAACACCTGAATGTTACTTTTTTTTTTTAATGGCATATATTGTATCAATGTATACTTCAGACAAATGACTATCTGCAGGTGCTGACCAGAAAATCAAATCCCTTAAGAGCACCAGAAAAAGACACTCCATATTCTAATGTATGTGTTGTCAGGTCAATTTAATAATAAAAATACTTACATTTAAAATATGCTTTTAAAGATGAAAAAAAGGGAGAGAACTGAAGGGGCCATATGCTTCTGATTCACTGTGTGTTTTCCCTTCCTCTTGGCTGCTTTGTAGATAAATTTTCATTAGAGTGTGGTAACTCAGAATTTGCTTTTCCCTAGAAACAAGCCAGTGGCAAAAGATTTTTATTCAGCCCAAAAGCAGAAAGAGGCAGGTTCTCCACCACCAGCACTCCTTGTAATGTCCGGCGCTCGCCACGCAATTCTCTGAACACTGCTAATCGGAGCATTTTATCCCAGAAATCTTCGTTTCATCCTTCTGTACTATCAACATCCAAAATGAACGTCAGGTAAAAAAACAAATCAAAGCTACCAGCAAGACATTTGATGTGATACACATGAAATAATTAACACTGACTGTGAATTTACTGCATTATTTCTCTTCCAAAAATGAACTATGCAAGACTAATTCTGATTACTAACTTTCAGCCTGGCTTTTTGGGTGGTTTAAGCCTCCTTGTGCTGTTACTGTCTTCATTTTTCATTTTTATGTCTGTTAGAAGAATCTCAAGTCCTAGCTTTCATTTTTGTGAAGCCAAATGATGCAAAATCAAGCAAATTATTTTACTTCTATTACTGTGTTAGGTTTTCTATTTTGCCAGGCAGCCTAGTAATTTCTGTTTATCCTAATTAATTTTTCTGTAAATTTTTAAAATCAGAACTCTCTTCAGTATTCCAGGTGAGTCTTGCAATGGTTTTTAGGTACTTTCTTCCTTCTGTCCTCTACTTCCCCTCCCCTTCAGTGTCACAGCATGGGTCCTCTTGTGATTGACTAAGCAGCCTGTTTCTAGCAGATGGGAACTGACACCAGAAGTCATGAGGAATTTTTAAATGGAGGAATTCTTACTCAATGCTATTATACCTTGCCTCATTTCCTTTTAGAACATCATGCGTATGTCATCATTCTTCCACAGTAATCTAATTCTCTATTAGTGTTAATATTTCATGAAATTTCTAATTTCTAATGAAAGCCTTTATTTCTACTATTTCTTTGTTGATTTCTAACTATTACACTAATTTTGACTTTATTCAGTTTCTTTAACCTTCCACAGCGACTGAAGTTCTGATTATTCTCCCTTTGCTAACAATACACAGTTGTTCACAGGCCTTGGTTCCAGTGTTCCTTGCTCTGATGACCTTCACTTTTCCACTTCTGCATGCCAAGATCATGGCTGCTGAGAATTTTTTTTTGTCCCTGACTAAAATGTATTTGGGATTATTGTTTTTAAGTCAGATAATGGAACTTCTCATATTACTGTCTGATAATATATATTTATGAGACTTTGGAATGCAGGTCTTCTGCTGTTTAAAGGTCAAAATCAAACAAACTTAATGGCTTTGGTTTTACTTTAAATGTCTTTTTGATTTCAATCGATAACAAATGTAAAAAATACACTGCCTCTCTTGGATGAGCTTGGATGTCTTCACTGTAGCCCTAATTGACTTCTAGCAATATGTGAACCAAAACATTAATTTCAGAATTTGCTTCCAAAATTCCATTCCACAGTTGCACTGTGGTGGTGGACCTTGCAAGCTGTACTTCACCATAAACTTGCTTGTCCACAAAAACAGCTTTCTTCAACATTTACTCCTTGTCTTTCTAAATCTTGCAAGCTCATGTCTTATTATCATGCGTTTTTGCAAGATCTTGAATTTTATGCATGTGCAGATATGAGTAATCATAGGTGTTCATTAAAAATGTGTATATACACATTTGGAATACATAGGGAATGTGTGTGTCTTGGTATGCAGGTGTCTTGGTTTGGAAAGACAGGAGTCTGCTAAGGAAGGCAGGAGCCACCCATGAAATGGAGAATGTAAACCCTCCCCACCCCTCCGAATTGCTATAAATTTTAAGGGGCTCTCAGGCAAAAATATGGGAGCAGGTGTTATAAATGATCAAATCAGTAGCCAAATCTATAAAAAAATTAACAAAGATTTATTAGATCAATAACAAAAAATAAAATTTCAAAAGACCACCACAGCCAAGACAGCATCAGCCCTGGGTGCAGGCGCTGGGTGAACCAGGGTCCGAGTGACAGAGTGACAGTGTGACTGACAGAGTGACAGTGTTTCCCCAGAGGTTCACCCCGAGTGCTTCAAGTGAGCAGCTGAGACATTCCAGCAATCATGGCCCCTGAAGGTTTAGATGCAATCTTCCCAGGTACAGATGCCAGAGAAGTTAGCAATATCTTAACGTTATCCAGGGACTAGTTGAATAAAAATAGGACTCTGTTCCCAGCCAGAGTGGTCAAACACATTACTTTGGTTTTCACAATATATTATACACACATATAGCATGAATTATCTCTACCATATACTACACAGAAAATAACAGTTCTTTAATAGGGAAAAAAAAAAGAGAAAATAAACAATACATACACTAGAACAACACTGACAGAGTCAGAACCCAACCTGACACCCTGTGGGTCAGGGTGTTGGTGGCAGTCTGATTGAAAATGTGGCTGCAGTCCTCCTGAAGTGTCAGGTGTGGTTCTGTTGGGGCAAAGGGGGGTCCTGTAGAGAAGGATGTATTCTTCCTCTGAAGATCCAGTGGAAGAAGAAGACAGCTGCTGATTCTCTGGGGAATCCCATGGAGAAAACCATGTTGGTGTCTCAAAAAACTTCTGGATTATATCTGGGTAGCAATGCTTGGCTCCTCCCTCTGGGCTCACATCTCCCAGTGGGATGTTATAGTTCTTATCAGTCATGCAGTGCCATTCAATAGTCTGTTATCAGCAATGTCCCCTCCTGAGGGAGGTGTGAATGTGGTCACTCAAAGAGAGTGATAAAGCAAACTGCCCACTTGACAAAGGTAATCTGCCATACAGATGGTGATTGAAAACATCTTGCATTGCAATCTTCAACAGCAGATAACTTGTGTGTTTCAAAATTGTCAGCTTCTTCCTCTTGTAGGTCTTTGAGGTCCAGCATTCTGTTAGTTGTCTTTCAGTTTTTCTTAATTTGAATTTTAAAACTAATGAAATATGCAATGCTTTACTACAGAATCCAGATCTAAAGTAAATCATATCTGTTGGTGAATAAATCTACTAGCTTATTGCACCCAAGTATATTTGCTTTTCAAAATAACAAGAAAGTCAGTTCTTTGTATTTTCTAGTAGTACTTACTGCTATTGACACTGGCTCGAAACTTGAAGTGTTATACCAGCAAGGTATTTTAGTACAGTTTTTGTATGAGCTGTGAACATCTTTCATAAAGTAAATATTTCTATCTGTAGTAAATAATTTAATAATAATTAATATAGAAGGCAGGACCTTCTATATTCTGGCACATTGCTTACATTCTTTGTAGGTGACTGAACTTGTCTTCATATTTCTAAAATCAGGTTCTCAGAAGCCACAAAAGATAATGAGCACAAACGCTCTCTTACCAAGACTCCATCTAGAATGTCTCCATACATGGAGGAGCTCTGCACACCTGACACTCAAAAGAGCTGCAAACTACGAAGTCAGAAGAACAGTAAGGGAAATGCAAGAAATAATGATCTGACTGCATCAAAGGGTAAGGTGCATGGTGGCTATTTGGCTCTTTCAGATCAAGACTTTTGTCTTACTGAATTACTGTACAAGTTTTTAACAATCAAATGTCATGTAGACCCAGGTTTTAATTTAATTCTCTAATTTATGACTGGTTCTTCAGAAACTGCAGCAGTTTCTTTGTTTCCTTTGTTTTCCAGTGATTTGACTAAAATGTTTAGTGCCACAACTTAAACATATGGTACCTAGCTACCTACAGAAAAGAGGATAGAAAGTCTTCCAGACCTTTAGGGACTACATAGCAGAAGATTCAGATAGCAGATACAGGGACACTCCCTCAGCACAGAAAGGAATTCCTGACACCTTCCCAGAGGTCTCGTTCTTCTTGTGTGGTTAGCATGCATCAGGCTTCTAGCTGTGCTTTAGGATAACCTGTTATCATCCTCAGCACCCTGATAACTCAGGAAATAAAATTAAGAAAAATCAGAAATCTTCTGATTACTAACAATTTCTGCAGCAGCACTGCTCTGCTATCCAGCCATTGGCACCCTTAGCATTACAGGGATATTTGCACAGGTCAAGAACCCTGAACTTCCTGGTTTGCTGTATAATAATACTGATGTTTTCAAGGGGCAAGCAAAATTCCACAGTGATCTGAAGCTGACCTGAGCCAAAAGAATTCTCCCTTAACATGAAAAACCACTTGGTTCCAAATAGGCATGGAAGAAACACAATTTGCCTTGAAGGACTAGAAAAACACATGGAGCTCTATGTGCTCTTCCAAGGTGTAATCATAGCTGAAGGGCCAGTACTCTACAACTCTTGTCCCTCCCTATTTCAAGTGAGAATTGCATTGTTTCTGCAATTCTATCTTTAGAAGTAGCAGCAGGGGCATTTAATGGCTCTTTGGTCTTGGTAATCGCAGTGTGGTCTTTCTGTGTACATTGATGCTCCTGCTACTCTAATGATGGTATCTTGGCGCCTTTTGTAGTTCTTACCCCCTTCAAGTTTGGAGCTCAACCTGCAGAACCCACAAGTGGCAAGCAGACATTTGATCTCAAAGCAAGTCTCTCTCGGCCGCTTCGGTATCAGCCGCACAAAGGTACCGTGACCCTGCGCAGCCTGGGTCGGTCACAGCCCTTGCACTCAGCTGCTCCTGCAGGGCACTTTGATACCAACAGTGAGAACAAAGTGTGCAGCCTCTTTTCCTGTCCCTTTTGCTTTCTCTATGGGTTCCCACACAGTCTGATATTAAATTTCTTCATAATATATGCTTCGAGCGCCTCCCTACTGAAGATTAGGATTTTATGACCTAAAGCCCATAAATACAAGAATAAATATCCTTGCATTCCACTGAATAGATGCATGTACAGGAAATACAAAATATTCCTTACACAACGAGGTGGGTTTTTTTAATCTCATGTGAGAAGCTGAACTTTTGCATGTTGAATGTTACTTCTAAACACAGTCACCTGTTTCTACTTACAGAACTACTTATAGAGAATGACACTGATAACATAGCTTAAAGAGATTTCATCTTCAAAACAACCAGTAAGAAACAGGCTAGCTAGGATAAATTCATGATAGGAAGTTAAGCACACAATTAGTTACTAAACTATTAAACTAGTCTCTCTTTTTGCTCCTAAATTGTAGGACGACTAAAACCGTGGGGAGAATTTAAAGAAAATGCTGTTCTCAGTAGGTCTGGTGGTATCTGTTCACGTAGGAAAGATTACAAACAGCCACATCTCCAGACAAGGTTAGTACACCACTCGTCTTTTTATAGATAGTGTTACTTAAAGTAATATGATGATTCATTCTTCTTATTAGGATTTAAATGCAGTTTAGGAAAGAATACTTTTGTATTAAAGCCATTTTTCTTTCCAATGACTGTTGAAATTTCAAGCAGGCCAACAAAAGGCTGCTCTGAATTTAAGACTTTTGGTTTTTTTCCACGAACAGTATCAGTTCCAGGGTTTGGAGATTTACCTTAATCTTGGAAGAAGCTGTCAATATTACCATGCTGTTACCTCGAGTGTTAGACTTGCATGTCTCAGCAGATGTATTTGCTTGAATGTTTAGGTTCAGTCCATAGTGGTACTCTTATCTCTGCCTATGGCAAAGGCAGCACACTGATTAAACTTGTGTTAGGCTGTGGTCAGCTTCAGATTCCTTTGGTTTCTAGTGTCTCTACCTTTAATAAAACTTGACATGGTCTCTTTTTTTCCCTCCAGGGAAGAAAGGCGTGAGATGCTTGAGCAAGACAGAAAAGAGAAAAGGGCTCATGCTCATGGGAAGCGTAGAGGCCTATCTGGGTGTTAGGATGAACAAGAAGTATCCAAGACTTCACTGTAAATACTGTTCCTCTCATGTAAAGGCTTGTGCTCTGTGTCTGGTTCAGGTTGCTTTTAGCTAGTGAAATCCAGAAAGCAATTAATGAGACCTTGTAATGTGCTCTGAGCATAATGATGATCAACTTCTCCACTGAGAGTTCTAACCTTTGAGGGGCTTAGAACTCTCTTGTTGCTTCATAATGTTTTCATTTAACTAATTTACTTGACTAAAAGATGTTAAAGAAGAAAATATGAGTGGAAAAAAGATGCTCGAGAAGCCTCCTTGCAACTTAGGACAGACTTGTGCATCAGAATGCACTTGTTGTGTGCTAGAATGCAGGCTTTAGATAGCAGCAGCTTCAAAATGTTCCCCAGTGTTCAAAATGACAAGATTTGGAAATACCTGCTTGCCCTGTTCTCCAAGTCAATCCTTAAATGCTCTAAGTTACAGCAATTATTCAGCATTTCTAATCTAATCCTATGGAATAGTAGGGAATTTCAAAGAGAAGAAAAAATATGCAAGCTCTCTGGCAAACTAATGTGTAACATAATTGTAAACTACCTTTTTGAAAAAGTCAGAACTGAATTTACAAATTACCAGTTGAATGCTTTGGTACAGTTAAGGTTTTCTTCCTTTCTATGGTAAATAGCAGATGTTAAAATTCTCTTGCTTTTCACCTCTAAGATGTCAGTTGTGTTGAGGTACGCTCAATACCTTGGTTTTAAAAGAAGCTGTTATTTTTGCATTTAAAAAATACATAGAAAAGTTGTCTGGATTTTTTAGGGATAGAAGTAGAAAGGTAATTTAGCAGTTGTAATCTCAGCTGTTAAGCAAATAAATGTTTCACTGAATTTAGTGTCCCATCAAATATATGTTGCAATGTCAAGAAAAAGCAAATTTTTTAATAAAGAAGACAATAAATGTTTTTTGTATGTCCTGTTTATCACTGGCTTTATCATTTAGTATACCAACTACAACTTCCTTACTCTGGCACTCATTTTGTTCCCACCTGTATTTACTGCTGTGTTTTCCTGTGCCAGGTTTTCCTCACTAACTCACCTGCCCTCCCACTTCATGGAAAGATGTTAGCTCTGATATCATCATTCTTCTACAATTAAGCAGCTGAATTCAATGCAAAATGAAAATGGTAGTATAACATTCTGTTTCAGCTTGCTTCATTGTGGTCTCTTCCCTATAAAATACAGTACATTTAATATTTCTAAAGTTCACTTAAACAAGGTCACTGTGGAGAGGTCAGTGCTTTGATTATTAAAATTTGACAGTTGCAACATGCCCTTTACAAAACAAGTGTTGGGTAGTTATCTTGAATTACTGAAAACTGGATTTCTCTGCAAAAGGGAGGTGTTAAGGTTCTGTGCAGCAGTTGAGGCTGTGAATTCTTGCTACACAGCTGAGTTAGGTAACTGCACACAGCAGAAGTGGGATCTGCTCTGCCCTGTAATGATGCTAAGTCAGCCAAGCTCTGCCCCCTCAGGGAGCAGACAAAGCTGCAGCTTTCCTCCCACCCCTCCTTTGGAGCATTGCTTCTTTCCAACATCCTTGGCTCTGTATCATTGTAGGATTATCTTCAACAGCTCTGAAGGAAAAGTCAAGCCTGCTGCATAGCTCTTGTTTCCATCTTGGCAGTGGCAGCTTTTTCTTTTTTTAGCTATCTAGAGGAGCCAAAGCTAAAGGTTGAAATACTTCTGTCTTTTCCACTTCTGGGGCTGCTCTTTGTAAATTTCAGAAGCTGAGTCACACCAGTCCTCAGAGTATTAATTCTCATACCTTTTTCAGTTAAAAACTAGCAAATGCAAGTGTTTTACAACTGTCAATAAACCACAATGTAGAAAATGAAAGTGTTGGACGAGAAAAGAACAACAAACTCGTGAAATACTTTTATTTTAGTGAAGGTCAGGATAGAAGCCAAGAAGAGTCACTACTTTGTAAGAACATCTCAACTGCTCTCAGGCTACATTGCAGTCCATCCATCTATGTACAATCTCTTCATGACTCTGTAGTTGGGAGTTTAAAGATGCCAGTGGTGCCACACTTCATGCACTTATCTCTTTAATAGGCCCCTCAAGTTGTTAAAAGCCACATGTTAATAAGTATTTTATAAAAATAAACCAAATATCTGAAGAAAGTACACCAGCCCAGCTTAGACTGGAGTGTTCTTGTCATATGCTTCATAGGCAAACTTTTCTTTATGAGCTCTGTCGTTCAACAGACCAATAAAATCGATCTCCAGCTGGAATGGACCATCTACTTTATCTCCAATGGTGAATCCAAGGGTTCTAACCTAGTTAAAAGACCCAGAGGGTAGAAGAGTATTTATAATATTGCAATCAAATTCAGTTGTATCTCCCAATTCTCTATTTTACATGCTGATCACAGCGATCTTCTTTCAACTGGTATTGTTAAAAACGCCGCAGCATTTTTTAAGGCTTGAACACTTCCCTACCCCATTTTCAACACAGACCCCAGTGGGAAATGACTCCACATGTGCCTTTCTACCACTGTGTAAGTAAACCCTCGATTTAAAGTGGCCCGAGTCTAAAGCAACACTTATCCTTCATGCTTTCATCACAATTGAGTTTCTAAACACATTTTCATAAAATCACAATTCTTTCATTAATAGGAGAAACAAAGATGTAATTAAGGATGGAAGGGATCATTCTACACAGTGATACACCATCTACTCTGGGAAAACACCAAACCAGACATTTTAGAATTTAAGTTTAAGCTGGTAGGAAACTTAATTACTGAGTTTAATAGTAAGACAAGGTTCTTAGCCACTGTTTCCCAATTAGAATAATGTTCTTAAATATACGAACAAATCTGTGTGGCTCGTGCCTGCCTTCTATTAGCCTGGGGCTTGCCCAAATGCTCCCTCAGCTCTCACACGTTACAAAACACCTCCAGCATTACCAGCTCAGTCCAGTCACCAGTGCAGGCACCTCATAAACTCAGCTGCCCCAAAGCCCTGCTGAAAGTGCAGGTCTGAACAGTGCCCATGATTTTAAGAACCGCTGTAAGTTTGGGAAAATAATGTCTAGGATGTGTCAGATGAATAAATGTGGACTCAATCTAAATCTACATTGCAAATATATGCTAAATAAAAAACAGAACAAAGCAAGGTAAATGTACTGACACTCCTCTGGATCATTCTGATGCTTTCCATGCTATTCCTTCCCCAGCAGCAAGCTCTACAAGTAGCCCCTTGGCTTTTGGAGTCCAGGGAGTTTTTAAAGCTCCTTTTTTCCAAATCACATAGTTACAGATAATCTACAGGAGTCACCTAAACTCTGCTCTAAAGAATCTATTCCTTTGCAAGCCATAGATACATTGACTGTTTCTTGCCTTTTTTATTCCTATTTAACAATTATTTTCTGCCTTTCCAGGTTCCTAGGAAAACATACATTAGTACCATGAGGGCCATTCATTTAAGAGTTGGACTTGATGGTCTCTATGGGTCCCTTCCAACTCCAAATACTCAGTGTGTGACCAAGAGATTTTATTAAGATTTCTTAAACTACCTTCACACTGCTTCCCTGATTTTTGGGTTTCTTTAAAATATGTTTGCAAAATTACACTGCAAGTGCATATTTTTACTGTCAAATGCTATACATACAATAATCATCAACAAAACTTCAGTGGAGCATACTTAGATCAAGTACTGATTTGTCCCTTTAACTCCCAGTAAATATTTTTAAATAGACCATATATGTTTTCATTTACCACATATGAGAATAAGTACCTTATAACATGAAAAAGCCCTTCAATTGCAAATTCACAAACATTAGAGAATATGTAAGTTATCTGTATCAGGTCATCTTGAAGGAAATTCTGAATTTCTTACAGAGCAGTTGTGTGCTCCTTATACTCCCTTTTCAAATGAAATTTTAAATAAAGCCTACAGAAAACTTGCCTTGTCTAACCAGACAGGATGCTGGTTATCCTGGACTCTTCCCCGACTGGAGAGAAAGAATTTGGAGAATGGAATCTGACATAAACAAAACAAAACAAAATCAGACTTTAGTGTCACCAGTGTATAACATAGAAACTTAGGGAAAAGAAAATAACATGGTACTAGCATTAGTTAGGTACATAAACTGGCACAAGAGATGGGCCACATTAACCTTTCAAGTGGCCACTGGCAGCCACTCCAGGCCCACCCTGTCCTGTGCTGGCCGCAGCCATCGCACAGGAGCGCTGCCCTGTCAGGACAGTGAGTGGCTGCAGCACAGAAGGTGGCTGCTTACAGAGAGAGTATCTCCTTCCAGTAACATGGAAATATCAACCAGAAATTACTGCAAAGTCTACCATGGGGTCATACTGACAGCTCATCTGTATCCAGGCTGTGGATTTCACAGTGCAAACTTTGTACTCAGACATTGGTATCTCTAGCAAAGCACTTCAGGGTAAAGTAAAAATTTCTATGAAAGTAGTAGGAGCAAGAAAGCAGGGCTGGCTGGTGGCTGGTGAGAGGAAAACATCCAAGCCAGCAATGACACTCCAACTTTCATCCTCCTGGCTCCTCGTCTGCGGAACAGCAGGCTGTTCCCACATGATTGGACAATGGTATCATGGAGCACTCAACACCAATTCATAGGGATGTGCAAACCTCCCTATAGCTGTCAACAGAGAAATAGAAAAAGTCCCCAAGTTTCACCAGAAAAGAGCCACAACTCACACTTAAAAATATTATTCTGTGTCACAGAGTCAAAGGTCATAAATGACAAACCCCAACTCTTGAGTCTGACTGACTCCAGAGAAGCTGCAAGTTAAGCAAATCCTGTTGCATGGAACAAATCCTACAACAGCCCATGCCCATTTGCATTACAGATAAAATGGTTACCACAGAGAATATTCCAGACAACACCTGCTAAGTTTCAATTGCTATATCTATCCTGTTAGTCCAGTAAGAGCCAACAGTAGGCATTCAGAGAAATACCTGGTGGATCAATTCTTTAACACAATTGCACAGTGTGCCCTCCCCTAGTCCAGTTTTGGGAACTCCCAAGCCAAAGGCACATGTCTATTGTATAATGAAAATGTCGAGTGGACCGCAATATAAACTGTGAATGTGGAGAGAATTCCCCTTCCTGTGCTTTGGCCAGGACCTCAAGATGGTCTCATCAGTTTGAAAGATTGCTTAGCTCACCGTTATCTCCTCCCAGTATGGGCCTCCTCTGGTAAACATGAAGTAGCTGTAGAGGTCATCCTTTTGATGAGAGAAGTAGGGGTCTGTATAAATGTTCACCATCCAAGGCCTGCCATCACCACGGACACGTAAATACAGACTGTTGAAGTTTGACCAGTCATAATACTTCTTCCTGTTAAAAGATCCCTACAAATTATTGATAAATAGAATTATTTCTCCTTAATAGAGGGACATTTTCATCATGAGGAACAGAGCATTGTTGCTTTGATCACTGCCCTTGTTATTATGTCAGATAGCATTTACTGTAACACAGTGAACACAGCTACTCTGTCATCACCCCGGCTGCTGAGCTCACTGAATTTCCTTCAGCCCTCTATCAGAGACCACAAATCACAATATTGCTGCCTGAGGACTCTCATTATAAGCCACAATCTCGTAACTATCAGAAATCAGACCTCCTTGCTAGGACTGAATTCCCTACCAGGCAATTACACAAATGCTGAAGTGATAGATCAGCACTTATGTAGCTCACTAAGTTTCATATTCTGTGGTCAGTTCTAGATCATTCAGAAGTGACAGCAGGAAATTGAAGCAGTGAAATAATTTATCTTCCTGGATAACTTCCCAACAGAAGACTAATGAAAACTGGGAGCATTTAATGCTTTCCAACATTTTTTTTCATTAACTGTGTAAAATGATAAGATTGCAAGCATGTCTAATTCTTTCTTGAATTTTTTCCAAAGATCTGAAAAATCCTGATGTTGTCATTTGCATGATGGCATATCCAAGAGTCCTCAGAGAGCTACACTGAAGTCACCAGGAGCAATAAGGGGGAGGGGGCAGGGTTATTCTTGGCCAGACTTGCCAAGAAGTCAAAATTAGCACCAAAAATTCGCGTTTCCCCTTTATTTTACAGCACGACTATGATTACCTATCAGCTATTGTTCTGGTAGGTAACAGAATAAGTAGATGATGAATATATAAATATAAGGCCTGTAGCTACTTCATTTTATGGTTTTAACAGTTTTGAGCCTTTCTACTTAAATAAGGATGGATTGATACACTCCACTACTTCAGAATGAGGAGGTGAAAGTTTGAGTCACATTTGCACAAGTCAGTAGCACTCCTGAAAGTTTAACTCAGACAGGACTCCACTTGTTGCAGTGACCTGATCTAATGCCACCATTTTATTCACTGTTCATATGCCTCTCATTTACCATGAGAGCCATATGAACACTGAATAAAATGGTTTTGCTTACTCATATTCTCTGCTCCCCAAGATTCTGGCCCAGAAAATATTTTACCTAAGCACTTGTGCCAAGACACAAGCAAGAGAACACATTAAATATTTAAGGATTTTATCCAGTGTGTGAAAACGTTCCTTTGTTTTTAAAGGTACTTAGAAATAAGGGATGAAACAAGCAGTGTCTGTAATAAGCACACCCATTTCTGGTTCTATTTTGCTCAATTCTAAGCTATCAAAGATTTGTGTCTTGCTTTTTTTCTGATGTACAGTAGGAGGCAGACTTTTAAAAAGTACATTTCAAAGCACTGTTTTCTGTTCCTGTGAGAAAATGATTCATTCACCCTAACAAAGTCTGATGAATAGACCAAGTTAAAGCTCAGAAAATTCTTACTAATGACACATTCAATCAATTTCAAATTTAGAAAGATGTCTATTTTGTTGTCATACCAACTTTGGATATAAAGTTTCATTCCAGATCCTTCATTTGTAAGGATGCTGCAAACAGGTCTGTCTATTGTACATAAGTAAGTGAGCAAATATGTATTATTCCTTTCTAAGAAAGGAAAACAAAATCCAAGAAAAAATTTAAGTTCCCTCCAGGTCAAAACAGCACAGCAGCAATTGCAAATCCAAATTGAGAGAAATGCAGTGCTCCTGAAAGGGATCAGCAGTAAAGGGCAGGCCACTTGCTGTCACTGGGACACCACAAACACCCTCAGCTCCAGCATCAGAAGCTGTGCAAGCACGGAGCTGTACTCACCACTTCTGGTTTGGATCTCATACTGCAATACCCACTGTACTTTGTCTCCCCATCACGAGGCACTTCTGTATTGAGGGTTCCATGCAGCAGAGCAGCCTGGTTATTCCGACCCAATTTGATGGAAACTTTACTTTTCCCTCCGATCTCCTCATCAGAGGAAATAACCCATTTATTTAAATCTTCTTGGCTCCTAAACTGCCACAACACCCTTGTTTGTTCCAACAAGTGCTGACTTAATGGATTGCCTCCAGGTCCTTTTAAGTAATCTTGGGTTTCCTTCTTCAGCAAGCTCAGCTGAGTCTTCAGGTGATCAATGCTCTTCTTAAAGCTGAAATCAGCATTTTGCCAAGACAGTTTTTTCTCAGGCTCTGCCCCGGGCCTCCTGTAGCTGCTGTACAATTTTGAATTGCTGAGGAGAGGTCCAAGTGAGGAGAGCAAAACTTTGTGCCTGCAGCATGCACTGTGGAAGGAAGCACCATCCCGCAGCATCACAGCCAGAGCCATACTGGTAACTTGAAGAATCCACGACCAGTAAGGCAATTAATGGATTGAAAGTTAATTTAACAACAGAACTAGCATTCAGAGCTATCTTACTGTAGTTACGTAGTTGATCTTACCCTTTAATGAGAAAGAGAAAAAGTTATAAAAAATTACATATGGGATGCTTGTGAAATTATTTAACTTTTATAATCAACACTAGCTAGAAATCCAAGTCATTGGAAAACAGAATGAAAAAAATCATCAGGAATGACACTTCCTTAGAGCTTGAATTTATTTATTGACTTCCACCCTACGCTTTCCCCTCTCCTCATGGTGTAAAATCCCCATGCAAATAAGAAAGCTCAAGTAAACTACTTCAAATAAAACTGAAACAGAAAAGAAAATCAGTTTCTCTTCATCCCTTCCAACAATAAGTTTAGGTGTTATGGATAACACCAGCAAAAACAACTCATGAAGAGTTCTAAAAGATGACACCTATATAACTAAAAAGTTTTATTCCTGCATGAAAATCACAAATTCACAACAGGCAGATGCTGCTGCCACACAGACAAAAATCACAATTTCATCTGACACAGATGACAAGACTTCTCAAATACTAAGTCCCACAATCTTCTTCCAAGTCATCCTCAACCTGTGTTAGGATTACAGAGACATTTGCAAAGACTGAAAAGTGTAACATGAAAGACTACAATTCAATATGGTTTTTTTTTTTTAATAAGGCTTCAGGAAAATTCTGCTCAATGCTCTGTACAGAGGCTGTTTTCTCTTACTTGTAAAATTAAACGGGGTTTTTGTCAGTTGTTTTTTTTTTTCATGCCACAGAACAAAACCGAAAACGATGTCACATGCATTCAACTTCTGTGAGCTTTTAAGAATGAACTCAGGCACCCCACTCATGTCCTCTATATGTCACTCACCTTCCTTTACTCACTGTAAAATTCACTACTGTTATTCTCACACTCTAATTAAGTTATGTCTAAAGCTACACTGAAGAAACCCACATTATGCTCCATCGTGTACTTCACGATCGGAGCAAGTTCTCGATCAAGAAGCCCTGTCTCCTCATTGCTCCACCCGAGTACCAGGAGAGAGCGGAGAATGTGAATGCATTCTACTTCAGCCCGGTTTCTGTCCCTCGGCACGGCTTTAGCAGCCTTGCCCGCCGGCTGTAGCGCCAGCCCGGGGCGCGGCCCGGCAGCTGCGGCGCCTCGGGCCCGGCTCCCGCCCGCACGCCTGAGCCCGGCGGGCAGGGGCGAGGCCAGGCCAGGGGGCGGCGGCCGAACCCCCTCGCCTCTCCGCGACCGACAGAGCCCGGCACCAACTCCGCCTCACCTTCCCGCCGCCGGGTCTGCCGCGCCCGGGCCGGCCAAGGAACGAGCACCGCGCCGCTCCGGTTGCGCCGCTCCGGTTGCGCCTCACCGACGGCGGCCACCGACGTCCCGCCCTCAGCGGCGGCCGAGGCGCGATCCGGGATCTCCGCGGGTCTCCGGGAGCCGGGAGAGCGACCGCGGGGACAGCGCGCGGTTCCGCGAGGGGACAGCGGCAGCGGCGGCCCCGCCCTCGCCCCGCCCCGCGCGCCGCGCATGCGCGGTGCCCTTTGTGTCGGGCGGGCGGGCGGCGCGGGTCAGGCCGGGCCGGGCCGTGCGAGCGCCGCCGCCGCCGCCGCCGGGGCGGGGAGGGGGCACCGCTGGCTCCGCCATGGTGAAGAAGCGGAAAGGCCGTGTCCTTATCGACTCCGACACTGAGGACAGCGGCAGCGAGGAGAACCTGGACCAGGTGCGCGGGCAGGCCCGGCCCGAACGCGGGGCCTGGGATCGCTGGCCCGCGCTCGGCTCGGCGCCGCCATCCCTCCCTCGCTCCCGCCCGGCGGTCCCGCGCCGCTGTCGCCCTCCTCAGCCCGATGGGGCCCCGCGGCCGCTGTGGGCAGAGCCCGCGTCCCTCCGGCGGGTCCCCGGCCCGCCCCTGGCAGGAGGCCCGCGCTGGCGGGGGCTCTTTGCGGCGGGCCCGGTGCTCGGCGCCGGCGGGACGGAGGCGCGGTTGATGCTCCGGGGCGATGCTCCGGGCGGTCTGGCCCTGAGCAGGGGATAGAGAGGCCCGGCTGCCCGCGCTCTTCTCACCTCGAGTAGTGGGGAAAGAGGCCCAAAGGGCTGGGCAACTTTTCCATGCTACTTTGGTACGCCGGGAGAACAGCGTGTCAGGTCCCTGCCCCTGCTCGGGGGAGGCAGGCTCCCGGAGTGTTAATGCGTGTTTAATGCGACCCTCTCAATCTCGGTGACCGCGCTGGAGAGCTCTGCTGGGGGGAAACCAGCGTGTAGATGTAAGAAGGGGTAGTATTATGTATTGGTCATCAGAGCATCTCCGGCGTTGTAAGTGCCATGTCTGGTGTGAGTTCAAGCGTGTCAGGGTTGCAAAGGGGATGTCTCCCCCTGTGGAGCGGGCTACTTTCAAAGATTCACCTTTTGGTGTAGCAGGTATTGATGGTGTGATTCCAGTGGTAAATAAAGACATTATAGGTGAAGTGTGTTGCAGTTTGGATGGCAGTGCTTGCTCCCGGGAGAAGTTTGGAAGGTCGAATAGGCTGAAGCCGACATGTCTGATGTAATTTATGTGTTGGACCTTCAGAGTTTTTAATACAAAAACTGTTGCTATGTTGCAATAAAAAGCCTTCCCCAACACACAAAAATACTTTTGCAGACTGGGGCTTCAGAAAAATCAATCAGATACTCTAGTAAAACAAATACACTGCAGCTGATGTGGTTGATCTTGCATACCTCTAAAGTCCTTAGCACTGCCAACATCTCACTGCTAATGTATCAGTTTGATAGTTTTAGAACTTGAAAATGGGAGTTGGACTAACTCTAGCATCAGTCAGACAATTGGAGTGATGGTGGTGGGAATAACCACGTGGTTCTGTATCTGTTCCATCCCTCACTGGCAACAGGCATCTGCAGCTGGACCCGAGTAGAAGGTGCTTCCCCCTCCACTGAGCTGCTTGTAGCAGCTGACAGCAGGGAGGTGTGTGTGCAAAGATGAAGATCAGGTAGCAGGGAAGCCATGTTTTTGAGATGAGAGAATACTGACTTAGATGTTAAATACTGAGTAGATTAAATGTCTGACAGATTCCCACGGCAATCTAGGCTTGTTGAATCAAAGGGCTAGCAGCCTTTTAAATATAGTATGTTGGAAAACACAGAACAAGTGTAGAAAGAAAGAAAAAAAAAAGGAATATAACTTTAAAGTGGTGCTTCCCTTCAAGAGCTTCCCAAAGAGAAGCACTGAAGCTTCTTCAGTAGCTTCCAGAGATCTGTTAAATGTACAATTGTGCTATATTGATGTTGCAGGGCTTCTTTAGAGGTTGGTAAAATGCCATTGCTAATGAACTAATAAAAAGTTTCTTTGTTGGTAAGTAGGCAGACCATCAGTTTCTGCAGTGTTTATGTTCTCATTTGAGGTAGTAAATTGTAATCAATTTGTTGAGATAATCTTCCAGTTGTGAAACTAATGGAAACTAATCCAGCATCAACTTCCCAAGACTGCAGAAGTTGGTGTGGCTGTATTTCTACACACAGCTAAGACTCATCAGCCCCAGAGTAATGTTTCTGAGAATAGATTCTGTGTCCCAGACTGCAAAGACAGTAACACAGCTTCAAAAATGTTTGCTTTGTACTACTGCTTGTGTCACCTGAACAAGTGATGAACAGTAGATGATGAGAGTATTTGAGAGCCATGTAGTTCTTTGTGTGTTGCCTGTGAAAATGCTTCCTTTTGAGCAGAACAGCTCTACTAAGTTTCACAGACTTTGAGCTTGATACCTGCTCTGTGTCTGTCCAAAGCTTTAAGTGCGTTCTGGGGAATGCACCAGCAGTGAAATGGAATGGAACAAACTGACTAAATATTACCAAACATGATGTAAAAGTGATGCCTAAAGCATTTACCCTTTAAAGTGTGTAATTGCAGACATCTCTGTAATTTAGGAGAAGAAGCTGCTATCTACTGGTATTTGGCTTTTTAGGGCTGATGCTTCATGGTGTAGTTAGGGTGGTTTTGAATTATTACCCAATCCAAATAAGACAGATCTGGACATGACTCTGAAAGTAATTTGTCTTATGTTGTTTATTCCAAGAAAGTAATGATAGTAATAGCTACCTTTTATAGCTTGTTATCTTTAAAATCCTTTTGTAGCATCTAGTGTTAAAATTGGGTGTGCACATGTATATTTGTGAAACACAGGTAGAGTTGTTCCTTAGTAGGTGGCAATAGTTGTGCTACTGAGATGTGCTCAGATGTGGCAGAGAACCTGCACGTGCCCTGACCTGGATTGTTAAAACTAATCACAACACTGAAAGAAATGTGTGTGTTTTTACACCAGGAGCTCCTGTCATTGGCCAAACGGAAACGCAGTGACTCTGAAGAAAAGGAACCACCTGTGAGCAAACCTACAGCATCCTCGGACTCTGAGACGTCAGACAGTGATGATGAGGTGACTTTCTCATGTTATCAGTGACATTGCTGTGGGTTATCTGTCTGATTGTACCTAAGCAGTGAAAGTGTATTTATCATGCAGTGTATTTAGCCTGCTGACTTCATAAGTCAGGGCTGGCTATCAATGATGGAGACTGATGGAGATCCATTAAGGCCAGAGAATTTTTTTATTAAATGAATATGCTTTGAATTCTAGTTGTATACAAAATAGTCTATATATAGAAAAGATGACTGCCACTGTAATCCCACATTCATATGGTGTGGTGAGCTGCCTGCTTTAAACTAGTGTTTTTCCTGTGTCGTGCTTGCCGTTGAAGTAGCAGTGAAGCTGCTAAAGCTGGACTCTGAATTCAGGGAGTGAGATTTTCACTTTGGAGTGGAGCTTCCTTCCTGAGAAAAGGGTCAAGGCAGATAGTACTATTTTACAGTAGTGAAACTGTTCTACTTAGCTGCTTTTATTCTCCAAGAACTGTGCTGTGAATTAGCTGTCTGGCCATTTGGATATGCAGCAGGGTGTGTTTTGATCGACATCTTTGAAGAAAGAGGGAAGAAAGAGTTCAGCATTACTTTGTTCTAAGGTTTCTCAATTTCTTGTATAACTGTGCTTATACAAGAATAACAGTGCTGGTTCTGTTTCTAGTATTTGTTCTTGGTACTATAGTCTAGAGCTGGTTAAAAGCCTGTGCATCGAGAAAAGAAATATTTAAAAAAAACCTATTAAAACAGGTACTGACAAATGTTATACAGGTATGTGAGTAAAAGCAATTTCTGGAAAGCTTACAAATATTTTTGCACACTTTCTGCAAATTATAGTGAGGTCATTAATTCCACCTATTCTTAAATATTTGTCAGGGAGATGTTTGGTGTGGGTTTTTGTATTTTTTACCTTCTAAAGTAACAGTACAGATTATCCATTGTGGCAACTTGCAGCCTAACAGGGTAGGCCAGTGATAAACTGTAAAGTATTTGTTAGTGTAGCAGAGTTCTTCCAATAACTGTGAAGAATGTGCAGTTTAATTTTCTTTCTGTGGCATTTTTTAAATAAATATGCTTGGAACTCTGTTCCAAATCAATAATTTTCTTAAAAACCTGCTTCTTGTATATCTAATATACGTTTAAGGCATAAAGACAGACAAAATTGTGGACAACCTAGATATATTAGGTTTCTTATTGGGGAACTACTCAGTCTGT